CAAGATTCCAACTGACAACACCCCCTTAAATAAAAGGTCAAACATTTTTGCAGTAAAAAGAATGAATATAAAAACAGAAGAGCATCTTCTCTATTTTTATTTTACACTACAATCAAATTAAGAACAGCTATTGTTTTTGCTCAACCATTTAAACTCAGGACCAACACGCCCCATATAATTTTAGCAAGCGTTAAGTGATTTTGGCCCATGGTAGTGCACCAGCACCAGCACCAGCTGTGCACACGAGCATCGACAACAAAGTGGCAGTAGCCAGTGGTATGGGTAGTGATGGTCAGTGGGCGGTGGGTGATGCGGCCTGTGGATTCTCCACAGCGAACAAATATCATAAAATGTGCAGTGAGCGGCTCTCTGTTTGGCCTGTCAGAGCATATTACACATCCGCCATGTGTGCTGTGTGTCTAAAACGTATCTGGCGTGGCAGGAGCGAAAGGAAGACAGCTCCCTGCTATGCTCCTGTCCATTAACTAACAGTTTTGCTGATGCATTCGGTCCAAAGAACCGAAACAGTTAGTTAAGCGATATTGTTAGCTTTTTATTCCTTTTCTTTCGTATTTTTTTAATTTATTTGAAAGGCACGTAGTGTGGACGCTCCTCCTGACAGTCAGACACACATATGGTGTATATTTTTGTGCAATTACTCCGCCCAGAAAATTGTAGCGGCCAGCAAACGCGACATTAATAGTGACAAATGTAGCGAAATGGCAAAGGACTGGCCCGGTCACGAATTCATCCTTTAGCTCGGCCATTTTCACTTTCCATTTCATTTGCTTCGTCCATAAAAAGGACTCTTTTTATGACACTTTCCTTGGAGCTCTTCACTTGCTAATTTCATTACCAGCTCCAAGCCAAACCATCGAAAAAAGTGGACACTCGTGGAATGTCATATTTCGTTCATTCATCATTTCATAGAATGTATAGTGTAGTCCCTCTGAGAAGGCACGCAACAGGCCATAGCGAGTGTGTCCTGCCAGGAGGTCCTTAGGATTACGACCTGACATTAACATGCTTTCAAATAGTTGACGCAACTTGACTTGATGGCTATCGTTGAGTCAACAGGTCGAGGCAACCTTACAAGTTATGGTCCTATTTATTATTAAAAATATGACTTAAATGGAATTAGAATGGAACTTAAGCATGATGCCATGCTTATATTGGTTCTATTTAAGAAAATTCCTTAAGACCAACGAAGCACAACCCCAGGCAGCTAATCGCGTCATTGCACACTTTGTAATAAAGTATTTGATATCGAACAGGGAACTAGTAGTAGTTTCAAAGAAAACCGATCCAAAATTTAGAAGCAAAAGGTTTCAGGCTCGGGCTTATTCTCACGCCCCTGAGAATCGGGGGAAAAATAGCAAACATTTACGCATGAGAAGTCAAGCAGGCACCTATTCGTGCTACTTATTGTTAGAAATAGTCGTCCATATATCCATATATATAGGTATACTCTATGTCTATGCGGTTCTCTACGGTTCTCTGCGGTTCTTATTTATTTTTTGTTTTGATTTGAAGCTCCCGCACCCGCACCGATACGCCGATAAGCCGGCCAAGGGGAATGCCAGCTAATATTCATTTCTTCTCTGATATAGAAATATATTCTCTGGCTGTCGGCGATAAAACTAAAATTTAATTAAACCATTTAGAAGCGGTGACAGTGGAATTCAAGAGGAAATTCATATATAAATAAAAATGCTAGTATATGTGAGCTTATCGCTCAAAAGCGCTAAAATAAAATGGAAACAAGTTCTCTAAAATATCAAAGCCAGACTCAGACCGTGGTGGAGTTTTGTTTTATGGTTCCCAGAGATATACGAGTCTACGTATGTGTATGTATGGCTTTATACAAGGGGGTTCTATATACAGATACTTTTCCGTATGCGATGACGCAACAACGCACAAATTGTTGAGGAATTCGTTTGTTTTATACTGTTTTCTAGTTTGCCTCTGGCGGCTGAAATATTTCAGTTCAAAAAAGGCCACGACAAGGCAAAGGCCAAGGAGCAGGTAGGAGGGCGATACAATACCATCTGCTGCCTATCTACTGATGTAGATGCATCCTCTTACCTGTGCAGGGCCCGAGGGAACCAGGTGGAGAGAAGTTGCACCTTTAAGCTGACTTGTGAGTAGGTTTTGTGGTGAGAATTAAGTCCATAAGACTACCTTAGACAGCCACTCTCTAGAATGAAACCATGGCCCAGAAACTATCCAGTGAGAATTCATTTCCTCCATATGGCACTTCAATATATGGATACTACGAGCATTTCCGGGGCAAGCATTTGGCCAAAAATCGAAAATCAAATATGTTAACAGGACCAGAGAGGTGGAATGATGGGAGTGGCAGGCAGGGCCAGTGGCAGTGGCAGGAATAAAGGAAGACAAAAGAAAAATTGCAGTGGCATCGTCGAGCGACAAACAAAACAAGCTGAAAAATAACTGCAGCTGTTGCAGTTTTACAAATGCGGTTGGCATCGTGGGCCCATCTTCCCCAAAGACCCACCACCCATTCAAAAAACCTACCTATCCTATCTGGGTGTATATATCTATATAAACTATATAGTATAGAGGAGGGTAAATGTGGCTGTTCTGTGCCGGTTGGCTGGCTGGCTCTCCACAATAAAAGTGAAATTTTCTCGTGCCAAAAATTTTGTTGACGGCGCTTGGTTGGTTGGTTGGTTGGATGGCTAGTAGGTGGGTGGTAAACGACTTTTAGGCACTGACAGTGAAACAGTTTTGCGGAGAACTTTTCCGAGGTTGCACAAGGCACAGGGAATGGCAGCATAAACTAATTGCAACAACATTTCCGATCCTTGGCCAGCCAAGAAGTAATCACAAAAGATGCTCAGATAGAGGAAATGAGAACTAATGATGTTGCTTTTCCATTTCGGGCATCCAATTAATCAACAACCTGCCTTCAAGTTAAATAGCCTAGTTTGTTTACAACTCAGTGCATCCATCAAATCGAATTATACTGCATTTTGTACAAAAATTGCCCCAAAAACCAACTCAAAGGCGAATATCCGCAAATCAAAACAATGTTTCGTGTTCAAATTTAATGTAACAATAAAGAATACTTTGATCTGATCAACAATCAATTATAATAAAAATGATTCCAGACAGAAAATCGATGAAACATACAGTGGACGAGAGGGTTTAAAAATACTTATGAAGTCATCAAGCGATTATATTATTTGTTTCATTAAAAAACAAACACACATGAGTCTGTGCAAGTTCCCAAGCCACGATAATGCCATGAATCCAATACATATAGTCGCCTACTAGACCAGGGGCGACGTCGTGGATTCCGCCAAAATAAAATGCGTCATTTATTGATTGCAAATATTGCGAAAGCAACAAGCGATGTTGCAAGCCAATGGCAAAAGTCAAATTGGATGAAATGCAGCAAAGTAAATGACAATTTGCCAGGTTAAGGGCTTTCCAACTAAATAGTTCAATTAGGAACCCCTCAATGAAAGTTGTAGTCTCTCTTTCAAATCACACTATTTTTACAGACAGTTTAGTGACTATCCCTATGTTTTTCTTTGCCAAACACCCCCTCTGTGACTGTCTGTCTGTCACCTGACTACCTTCTTAATGCCAAAAAGTGTAAATAATAAACAAGTGCCTCAAACCTCAAACCTTAAACAACAAACAGAATAGCCGACCGTGGACTCCTGCCATATGTGGTTGAAAGTGCGAGTGCAGCGCAAAGAAAAGCTGATAAGACCGGGCCTCTTGTTTGCATATCACACACCAACTAACTACAACTGCAGTTAGGTTTATAGCAATTACATTTTAAATATTCAAAAGGGTAGAAGTATTCGAGGCACAAATTTTTATTTTAAGGAAACTTGGGAATGAAAAAGATCAAGTAATGCCTTTTAATAATATTTTAATGCCTTTTTAATAATATTTTAAAGTAGAAAAACATAAAGAAATATTTATTCCAATATCCTATACATAGCTATCGGATAGAGCTGATCCTTATTTGACTTGTAATATTCTTCTTTCCTAAATATTAATTTTTAAATAAAACCCAAAGCTTCTAATATAGCTTCTTAAAATACCCTCTTGTAATAAAAACCAACAACGCCAAAATTAAAATACTCTCTGCAAGATTTGATTTATACAAAGAATACATTTTATTTGTCAAAATTTTTATTTTAATTTTATTTTAAAAGTCCAGAATTAATAAAACATAAAAGCCATTTTTAAACCAAACAAAATATACAGTGGGTCGCAGCTTATTTCGTGCAGGTGATTAAAAAATGTTTAAGTCGTTATGTATATCACATGATTCATATTATTTTGACCGCAACTGCAGCTCCTCCTCCATTTCCCCCGCTACTTGACCGTGGCTAATCTTGAAGTGCTTCTGGGTCAAAGTTTTGTCGGCGTTATCGCAGTGGGTTTGAGGAAAGTCATCCATTAATGAAGGGGCTACTACCGATACTACTTCTCTTATCGCCCCACTTGTAAACACATAATTGAAAGTTATTTACACTGATTCTGCCATACGTATCTTGTGCTAATTCTCGAAACTAATTGACACAGTTAACAGAGAACTTGCTCGATGTGATCTAAAAAAGCCTGCAGTTCGTTAATGAAATTAAAAATAGATCAACAGCTGAAAATACACTCTATAGAAGGTGCAGCGGGGCGATTACAACTAGCCAGAATGTTGAACCTCTAGAGGCCGCCAACGAGAAACACAAAATAGAACAAATAGGTGGGTGGGTAGGACTATCGAAGGAGCGGAACTAGACCATGGGAAATCCGTAAAGAAAATCAAATGTGTTGTTTGTTTGCATTCGGCTGTCGGTTTTTTTCTTGTTTGCTCTTCACACTTGCCACTTGTAAAGCGTGGATTTGCCACTCAAAGGTATAACCGATTAGGAGCCCATTTTGAGCTCCAGTTGCTAGGCAGAGTTACAACGGGGAGCAAAACAAAAGAAATTTGTAAGTTTTATAATATCACATACCACATTTGCATAAGCTCTGGCGGTGGCCACAACAAAAACAAAGCCAACCAAATGATTTCTGGCCAAATGTCAACAACAACACTCCCTCTCACTCACTACCACACACGAACGCACTGAGCTCTTTGCCACTTTCGCTGCGGAATTCGGTTTTATTTTCCAATTATTTGGGAGCTCTATCATCAATAGCTGATTTTAAAACTGCACCTTTCGCACCTTTGATTACCCCGAGGGGGTGTAATATTTATATTTTTATTCGGTTAGCACGGCTAGCGCAACTGTTGTTGTCTCGGCTCTGCTTCGATTTTTACAGGCTGACACCGCGGCATCCGACACGCGTGTATCCGAACCTTTGAATTTCAAAAAGAAAAAAACGAATGGTCCGCGTCGTCGAATAATAACAACAACGCAGCCACTTCGAATCAGCTGTTGGCGATGTCGAAAATAGGGTTGTTGACAATATATCGAAATAACAATATATCGACGTATCGATAAATGGTACAATTTTTGAATTTTAAAGGAGTTTAAAAGAATTTTAAGATAAATTTAATTGGACAATACATTTTAAAAAAAAGTTGATTTAAGTCCACATTAATTTATTCTTTTCCGCTTAAGAGTCGGAATGGAATTGAGAAATATATAGTCGACACTGCGGACTAAATAAGGGAAAACCCCATTTTCAAGGGATCCCATGACGAAAAATGGACAAAATATCTAAAAAATATTTCGTCTCAGGATTTTGATGCAGAATGGTTGAGAATCGATCGAGAAATCGTTTAAGGTACTCCGCTTGAGAATCGAATGAGAATTGGGGAAGATATAGCCATCACTGTGGACAAGTTAGCTTTCCTCTCTTGTTTAGACTTTTTTTCCTTTTAGCTTAGTAAAATTCAAATTGTTACATTTTTTTTTTAAATGTTCGGACTAAAACTTCACTTGAAGCGCGCCAAAAATTAATTTTCGATATTTTTAGATCTTTATCCCGATATGGATATCACGATAAATATAACTCTTATAAAAATGATATCGATAAATTTTATATATTATCCACAACACTAGTTTTTTTTGGCAAATTTAGTCCAATTTTTAAGAAAACACCGTTCTTTAAAGCGCTGTCCAACATGTCACAGGTTAAATATGACCAAAATCCATTATTTAATTTCAAGCTAACTATCCATTCAAAAGGAATTCAACAAAGCGGCCGAGGATGTGAAAAATCTGAACACCACGCCCTCAGATAATGATCTGCTGGAACTATATAGCCTCTACAAGCAGGCCACCGTGGGAGACTGCAATACAGGTGGTTCTCGGAGCTAATACGTTTCTGGAATTCAAAACCTAACCAACTTATATTCCAGATAAGCCCGGCTTTCTGGACTTCAAAGGCAAGGCCAAGTGGGAGGCGTGGAACAACCGCAAGGGCATGAGCAAGTCTGACGCCGAGAGTGCTTACGTTGCCAAGGCCCAGGCTCTGGTAACTTCTTTGGGTCTCAAAGCATAGATACTTTTACCCAGACCGGTATTTTCTCCATACATCCGTTGCATTTGCAATCTCAGTGGTCGTCAACCGCACAAAGTTTTTTAATTTTCAGGCTTTTGCACCAAATATACACCGACTTAACGAACTGCATTCATATAATTTGTCAAAGCGGGAATGGTTATATATACAACTAGATAGGATACTGATCAGGCTTCGGAGGGAGAGGCGGGAAAGCTGCCCTGCGACTGGCGTTGTCTCTCGTATACTTCTCTTTGAAGCTCGCGCAGATTGAGCTCCAGGGTCTCCACCACATCGAAGTTCATGTCCTGGCGAGCCTGCTTAATGTAGCCTTTGATGATGTTGATTTGCTCGATCAGGGGGTCGTCCAAGCTGACCTTGGTGGCGGCCTGTGGAGCCGACCAATTGTTCAAAGATTGTAGATCCGTCTGGAGGAAAAATAAATGGTATTTTAAGATAAGTAGACAAAAAAAACTTTGAAAAATATACCCCTTGGGCAAAGGATCTACTCTCGGGTCCAGCCGCACTTTCTCCCGCCATCTTGGCTGCCTGGTTCCTCCGCTCAAAGGCTTCCATGGCCATACGTTGCTCAGTGAGGATGCGCTGTTCGGTCTCCATGCGACGACGCTCCTGCATCTGGCGAATGTGCTCCTCATCGGGCAGTGGGGGCAAGGATAGCATACGATCCTTAATAGTTTTAATACAGCCCAAGCGAATGGCCTTTTTGAGAGCTTCTTCACGACTGCCAGGCTCACAAAAGATGGCCAAGATGCGTTTGCTCCGCAGGTCCATGGCTTCCGCCACCTGGCCAATCTTTCCTCGAAGAGCACCTGCATCCGCCAGCGTAAAAATGGTATCGCCATCGTTCAAGCTGTTGATGATCTTTAGGTACATGTCCAGTTCTGGAGTAACCTCTTTTTGGAGCTGCCTGATTTGTTCATAGACCTGCATGAGCAGTGGGCGGCATGTGCGACTCTCGTGCATGTCCCTTCGAGTGTCGAGCAGCCAAAGGCAGTGTTCGCAGAGCCGAATGGCACGTTCGTTTTGATGGAGCTGCTGCAGAGGTTCGCTACGCGTGGTAGAAAGGCTTGCCAGTTGCACTGTAATGGAAAAATTAAATTAGAAAAGGAATTACGGGTCTAAGCAGATCACCTACTAGCATCCTCTAATGGTAGGAATTTGGAGCAGTCATTGCACATAATACCGCCACAGAGGCGACAATGATGCTGCCTCCTGGCAATGTGAAAACTCTTGGCGCAGCTTGGGCACAGCTTCACGGAACTGCCATCCAGCCAGGCCACGGTTTGCTGCTCATGCTGACGTCGTTGCACCGAATCCGTGGGCATATCTTTCAGCAGTCGATGCAGCCTGATAATTAGTTTGTTCGTCTCACTGGCATACCGCTCCAAGCGTGGATTGCGCACAGATTGAAAGTATTCAAAATGCGAGCACTCGGCTCCCGCCTGCTGCTTGCTCATATGGTTGAAGACATTCATTCGGGAACGGGCGTTACTCGGCCCCTTTTGGTCTCCGTTACCATTCTTTGAAGCTGCCGAGGCAGTGGCACTTCCCGACGAAGAAGCCCCACCTGCTACTCTCTCGTCCTCAAAGTTATTCAGAATCTTCTTCTTGGCCTTGACGAATATGTCCTTGAAGGTCTTGAGGGTGGCCTCCTCTTCAGCATGCTGCTTTGCGAAATGCTCCGTAAGCATGTCGATGGATTTGAGGTCCGCCCGGCAAATGGGACAGAGGAACCCCTCGAGGATTTCTCCGCTGGCTGCACTCTCGTCATCGTCGCTATCAAAGGGATTACCCGACATCCTGGCGATAAGTAATCACTTGTTTTCTGACTTGACTTTTTGGTGGGTGTGTTTTTGGAATGTCCACCCCGCAAAACGATAGCTTCGTTGTGGTTCACTGCAAATAAGGCCGCAACATTGCAGATTACCAACCTACCTAAGCGTAAAAGCTACAATTTTAGAATATATTATTTAAATAAACTATTAGCGAATATTTTTTCGACTAATCTAAATCTGCTTACTCTTCGGAGCTGTCGCTTACCACGAAACGCGTTCACTCCAACCCGAAAGCTCGTTCGTTGTGAATGGCACTGGCAAGAAGCAGCATCAAGTTGCCTGCCTGGAAGTTTTCTCTGGTTTTTCATTTTTGTGAAGCCGTGGGTGTGATATTTTTATCCAAAACTGACATAAATACCAAGTCAAGTGCTTGGACCAACTAACTATAGCCAATTAAGCCGGAAAAGTGCCGATAATCGACCGCTAACATGTCGGAAAGATCGAAAGGTGACGTGTCCGCTCGCGTAAACAACAATCAAAACCCAAACGCGACGCGTGTCGTGAAAAATCCGCTGCTCAGCGCCTCGGTTACCGGTTTGAGTTTCGACGACTTTCCCAACAAGCCGCAGCTCCTGCCCGCCGCTCCGCCCGTCGTCCACGCCCCGCCACCCGCTCCGGCCCCCGCTTTGATTGCTGGCATCCTGAACCGCGGTAAGTGGGTCAGGGTTGGACGGATTTCTATCGAGTGGAGGGGGTGACCTGTTGCACGTTCCACCGCTGATAAGCTGGTGATAAGATGTCGGCCCTGGTCCAAGGGTACTCCATAGTTAATGACAGTTGGACGAGTAGTGAACTAAACCGTAGTAATAAGATTTCAAAAACCTCAGACTGTTTGTTTCAATATTTACGTTTATTTGACCCAGTCAAGCAAGATAAGGAAATATAAATAAAAAATCTTACATCAGAGTACTTCTGCTTTGGAAGTTTGCCGCTACAAGTGCTTGATAGCTGCCGATAACTCTAAAAATAAGTAAGTTTTAGCAACGCAAGCTTTAACAGAAGAATTCGTCATTCAATGGCAATTTTATTTGGCTCCTTCCACTTCATCTGGCACTTTGGCACGATAACAAAACAGAAGTCTACTCCATGCTTCTGGTGGAATGCGATCTGTAGGTTGGGAGCTCCATGACCACTTTCCTGCGGCGGCAACACCACACAATCCCCCAGATAATGGCTATAATTAGGAGAAGCAGCAGAATGACTCCCAAACATATCGCTGCGATGGCGGCCTCTGTCAAGTACACATCCCTCACGTCTATGGTGAGGCTCCTCTGATTTCCAGCCGCATCGTAGGCCACAAACGACACTTTGGGTTCGCAGCAGGAGGCCATGTAGGTGGCTTTTAAGGGCTCTGTTGTGCCAGCTGTATAGTAGTTCCTGTAGAACAGTCCCTCGGGGGGTGTGGCCTGTAGGCGCAGCATGCCGGATTGCCAATCCTGAGCGGTAACATCCAGTGTCCAGAAGCGTTCGCCGCAGTTCAGGGATTCGGGTGTAAGATAATCACAGCGACTGCCAAACTCCCAGGATAAGGTGGGACCAGTGGTGTCCTGATTGAAGATGAATTATGGAATAGGTTAGGATTTTCTATCATTTTAAATATATTTTTTTTTACAAACCTGTGCATCTATGCTGGTAACCACTTTAAGATTGACCGCCATTGTGGTGGTTTCGCGCCCATAATGGCTGAAAGTGATCCTGTCCGTGGTGCCCTGGGTTGTTCCAGTGGGAACTAATACTGTTAGACGCACAGTGGCCGTCTCCTGAGCCCGAAGATTCAATCTGAAAAATAAACACTGCTTACTTGAACAAACCACAAGAAGAACACTACCCACCTGGTAGGATTCAACTGAACCAGAAAGCGTCGCTCGTCGGTGACCTGAATGGTTGAATACACGGCTTCGGAACGCATATTAGTGACCTCAAAAAGAAGCGTAGCCATTTGCCCCGCCGTGACCAGAATCTGGGACTGGGTACTCAGTTCGATCTTAGTGCCGCAGCGCTGGAGGAGCATGGCATTCAGGGTGCTCCTGGGTTGGCCAGTGGCGGAAGCCAGCAGTGTTTGATTGAGATTTGGGGCCCTCTGGATTTCCTTTTCCGAGAACGTTTCAATCTCGTTCTTTGGCGAGTCAACATCGTCTTCGATTTTCTCGGTGTCCTTTTCCTTGTCGGGAAACTGAATCCTGGCGAGGCGGGGTTTGTTCTGGCCATTTTTGTAGTAGCTATCGATGCGCTTGATTATGTCGCCTGTTGGGAAATACGGAAAAGCATTAGGAAAACAGCTGGACACACGTGTTAACACATGCCATAGAGATGATGGCGTCAGCTCTGACGCGGGCTCCTCGGCCGATCTGACATTGGTTATCAGTGCGCTTTCGTTCGTTCCATTTTCTGGCAAACAGGCAGCAGCCGAGGCCCTTATCTCTCGACTCAAACCCAAGCCCAAAAGCAATCACATAATAGTCAGTGCAGTGCGGCCGTCAATATAGCAAGGTTGTTTAATAATTGCTTTGAATAACTCACCCAAAAACACATCCGCTTTTCTTTCGGCTCGTACGAATACATTGTAACTTTGGTTAACCAACGCCGGGTACAGTTTCAATTTGAAGGTTGCTGTGCGCCGCAGTTTGTTAAGTGGTACGTAGGCATCCAATTCGTAAGGGCTCGTGGTTCTAGTGGCATTTTCTGCACCGAATTTCACCAGTTTTTTCAAGTTAATTTCTACAAAGGGAGGTAGAAATAAGCGTAAACAATGATTCGATCAGCTGTTTGCCATTCACAAAGCAACGCGGTCAGCTGTTACAGGTGTTATGGCTGCCGTTGCCACATAGTTGCAATTTGTTTCAGTTTTATTTAAATCACTACAATTAGGGCCATTAATTTAAATGTTATTTGTCAGCTAAGAGTTATATGGAGAGAGACTAATATTTGATATTCAGCAAATCATAAGTTAAATCATAATTCCGAGCAAATTGCAAAACTTGGCAACCCTATCTCAGCAGCTGCGCCTTAGTTGTTGTGAACAAAAAAAGAAAACACGTCCCCAAAAGTCTCGGCTCGCGATATAAAAACAATTGTTTTTCCTTGTGAAACCAGCGAATTATGAACAATTAAATTCCACAAAAGTGTTGACAAATCGTTGCTTCAAACGACGGCTGGAATCGGAGAAGACGACATGCTTGTATAGCTTCAAATTTAACGAATTTCGGTTGGACATCAGGCCACTTTTTTGAACTTGGCCCTGGCAGTGATGTGGATTGTCTAATTTTATGGCCAAAAGCGTATGTATTTGTGCAACCATTTTGCATTAGCCATATTGCCAAATGTCCAACGAGTGTTGTGACTGTGTTTTCAGTGTCATTTCGGCCCAGTTTCTGCCTCAAAGGGGTAATAAGTTTTTTCGAGTTGAGGCAGGCAGGCTGGCAACGAAAAACCTCCCCAATTAATTGATTTATTCAGAGTATGTGTATGTCTGTGTGGAGGAATAACTTCCGGAAGATAACTCTGTTTATAAACGAAAGTGTCAGGGTTATAAAAAGTTTTCAATCGGACAATACTATTGTGTATTATTTTCGGTTCGGTTTCTTGCGATAAGCCTCGGGTTTCGATTCCCAAACTGGAAGCCTCCATCATTTCTTGAGTCATCATTTTTGTTTGTCTGACCCGGCGGGCAATCTTTATAATATAACTTACATATTACAGCTGTTTTCAAAATAATAGGAGTGCTTTTGCATATGCACTTGTCCCTTCTGTAGCAATGTTATGCGTTCATTTTTTTCAATTTTATTTCTTTTTCCAAATTTGTTTATGGATACACATTCTGAGGTACCGTTATTTTTTCATTTTACTATCTTCGTTTTCTGAGAATTACCCAAATTCGTAAACAAACTTCATTTTGCGCTCATCAAAATAATAGGAGTGTGCCATTTTAATCTGTTCAGAGCGCAAAAAAGGTAATTATTCTTAAAAAAACGGCTTAAAAGTATAGAATGATTAATATCCAACTACAATTTTAACGTTTAAGATCGAAAATTTAAAGCAATGGGTCGTGGCAAACATTGCACACCTGAGCGGCGTGATTTGATCAAAAACTTGATTTCAAGTGGGAAAACGTACAAGGAAGTACAAAAAATAATTGGATGCGGTGCTTCCATGATCCGAAATGCACTAAAATTTTCGCCCAAGCCGGAAACCCGCGGCCGACCCCAAGTTCTAGCCGATAAACTGGCTACACGTGTTGCAAGGTACTCGAAGAAGCATCCTTTTGCAAGCTGCAAAGAAATCAAGGATGAGCTTAACTTGGACGCAAGTATCCCAACAATAAGTCGTCTTTTAAAGAAGCAAAATTTGACTGCCCACAGTCCACGGAAAATTCCATTCCACACCAAGAAGCACATAGCCGCAAGAATGAAATTTGCAAAGAGCCATGTCAACTGGTCAGTTGAAAAGTGGCGTAACATCTTGTGGTCGGATGAGTCGAAAATAGTCCTTTATGGTGGCAAAGGATCTCGACAGTACGTTAGAAGACCACCTAACACCGAATTTAATGCCAAATATTGCATTAAAACGATCAAACATGGCGGACATAATATAATGATTTGGGCATGTTTCTCGTACTATGGCGTAGGTCCAATATATTGGATTAAAAATATTATGGATGGTCCTGGATATGTCCAAATAATGCAGGAAACAATGCTGCCTTATGCTAGCGAAGAAATGCCACTGGTTTGGGTCTTCCAGCAAGACAATGACCCAAAGCACACAAGTAAAGTGGCTAAGAAGTGGTTTGCAGACAATAAGATTGCAGTACTTGAATGGCCCGCCCAGTCCCCCGATCTGAATCCGATCGAAAATTTATGGACAGACGTTAAAAAGGCGGTCGCAGAAAGGCATCCAACTAATGTTTCCGAGCTTTGGGAAATTGTAAAGGCCTCTTGGACCTCGATTCGTCCCGAAAGATGCCAGAAATTGGTGGATTCCATGCCAAGGCGCTGTGCGGCAGTGATAGCCAATAAAGGTGGTGCCACGAAGTACTAATTATAGTTTTTTTTAATTACATTTAACATTAAATTACTTAATATAACCATATTTTATCGTTATATATTATTTTCAAAAGTTCTGAGAGAATTTGCTTGAACGCTCCTATTATTTTGAGAAACCCATATTGGGTGTTGTTCCCTTTTTTATTTTTTTTTTAAGTATGTATTTAATGAAGTAACTTTTTTTTAGTTTTAATTACTTTAATACAAGTCATATTTGTTAAAAAAAATGAATTTAAGAAATTTAATTCGTATTGACATAGTTTTTTTCACCGATTTTCACATTCGTGATGGTCACTCCTATTATTTTGAAAACAACTGTATAAACGGACTTTGTCCGCTTGTTCAACGTGGCGTATGATTAATCTGGGGGATCGCTTGTTACTTTTGATCCATACTCTCTCTCGGTTAACCATTAACTTTTGTGGTTAGTCGACAATTACACTTTGTGCCGGACAGTTGAAAGTGCTTTCGTGTTAGATCAGATCAGATAGTAATTCTATAATATAGGACTAATACAGGACTAATACTCACCGATCGGGACGAAACACACACATAGAGGTAAACAGAGAGACACAGAGGTGCGCTGAGGAAAAGTTAAGGTGAACACCAAATAATAATTCTAAAGCTGGTTATTTTGTTAAATCGAATTGCTTCTCTTTGATTTCCTTTTATTTTGGAAGACCCTTAAAAAGCTAGGACATTTATCAATTAATCGGTAAAACAGTAAACATATATGTATGTAATTATGTTGGTATATTGAAAATTCCTTTGTACTACAGTTAAGGGTTAAGTGTTTCGTTTGTTGAGCATTATTATTCTAGCGTTTTGGTTAAGGAAAGCGTTGGGGCTTCGGCTATGTACATACAGGGGGCAGGCCAGCAGCGGGCCTGACTTGGGATTAGGTTTACGATTTTGGGTATCATGTTGTTAGTCAAAGAGCTTACGAGCTAGGGGACATATAAATTACACAGAAGTACACAGTTTTGTTCTGTCTGGGACTTGTGGTTCTTGTTCCATTGTTTTGTTTTTTGTTCTAGGTAGTTTGCTTGTGCCAATATCATTGGGGGATTAGGCTTAGGTTCTAAAAGTAGGCTTGGCACAGACTCCCACACATCTAAATCGCTAAAACACTAAATTACAACCCTGCGTTAGTAGGTGCAGATGAGCAACAGATGAATAGTCGCAACTCGAACTAACCACCATTCGGCGTCTCCATTGTGGCACGTCGCATGTTCGCATCGATGCGGACGTGCAGGCTGGACAGTGTCGTGTCCACGGGCAGGTCCAGCTCCTGGACGCCCTGATATGCGTCCGACACTAGAGTGAGCTGGAATGGGAATTAAAAAAATATATAGTAAATTATTGATATTAGTAGTCTGGAGAATATATTTTATCTAAATAGATACGTTTTTAAGGAGTAATAGGATCTGAAAAAAATGTATATTTACTTTTTCCTAATATCTCTAGAATGTTTGTTTAAAATTTAAGAATTTCTGACTATCTTCTTAGGGACTTTTGAAACTTTTCTGTCCTTTTTTTTAAAGTCGGTGCCAATTATATAATATATTCAAAGCTAGTTTTCCGATTGTCTCAAACGTTGGTTACAATTTCCAAAAATAATTAACAACGTAATGCTGTTACATTTTTTTTTTATTTGTTTAAAATATTTATTTTATAGGACGAAATTAGATCAGCAATCCTTTTAGCCTTTTTTTCTTTAGAAATCATGTTAACTACTTTTAAATCTTCCCAAAAATTTAAATTTCAAACAACCTTTAGAAAAATATCAAATGAAATCCCTTTTCTAACCATAGAATTTTAATTTTTGGATTTAAGATGATCAGACATCACGTTATAATGAGTTTTTTTTTCAGAATAATTGTAGCCATTATCGTATTTGTTTATAGTTCTACCTTGATACGTTACCAATGTGTTGGAACAAACTCTTCATTCTAATTAATAGATAGGAATAAATATATAGAACAATTCACCAAATTCCTGTCTTAAACCAGTTTTAAACCCCCCTTTAGATCAAATAAAACTAACACTAACTTTAGAGTTTAAACTTTAAAGTTGAATCTCAAAAAAAATGCAAAGAATTCCCAAAACCAGAATGCAGAGCCCAGGTTTTTGGCATTTTTGTGTGGGCTCCTTTCTATCAACAACTTTGCCCTTCACTTTTCTTTCCATAACCTAGTTTGGCACCAGCCTACAATAACAACAACAATAACAAAAGCAACTAAAGATGCAACATCATCAAGCTGCCACCTGCCGCCTGGCCAAGAGGCTCCGTAATCCAAGTGGCTTCGTCTCAGTTGGCTGCTTGGGCAACACTTGGCTAGATTGGGTCTGGTTGCTGGCCTGTTGTTGTGGTTATAGTGGATGCTACTGCTGTTGTTGTTAGTCGCTGGCGGCTGCCACTTTCAGTTTTCAACACTGAGGCCGTCCCTCGTGCCACCTGCCTGGCTGCCACTCCGCCAGTGTACACCAGTCTGCCAGACTGGCGTTTGCAAACGATTTAATTACCCCAATTGCGGGTCTGCGGGTCAGGTTTGCTCGTTATCATTGCGATCATATCTCACCGTATTGCCCGCTATGTGCTGTCCGTGCTCGGTGCTCACAATGTGTATGATTTCGCCCCCCGACCGGGTGGCTACCTCTCCCAGGATGCCTCCCACAGCGTCCTCGGTTTCGTTTTCGCTTCCCGATCGCTCGCCGTACCACAACAGGAATAGCTGAAAGGAAGAGTATAAGATTTCAATTAGTACCATGATCTGGAAAGGGTATCTCTCGAATGGGCTTGATTATCTCACCCTGATCCTCTTCTTCAGCAGAGTAATGGCTGCGTCTTGGACCAGTTCTGTGTGTGGGGGAATGGCGGCTGTCGATATGAAGACGGCACTGTCGTAGGGCACCAGCTCGGCGGCATGCAGGACGCCCACGAAAGAGTTGCCGCCCTCGTGCTCCTTGGTGCTGTTCAGGCCGGCTATGAACTCCCGGGTGTTGTTGAAACTAAAGGCGGAGGGGGCTCCTGAAAGTGGGGAATTATAGAACTTCAACAATAGGATGATCTATGATCCACTTACCCGCTGCATTCAATGTGACGAGGACGATCTTGATGTCTATATTCTTGTCCTGGAGGGCGTCGATGTAGAGCCGCTTGGCCTGCTCCAGAGAGGCCGAAGATGGGTCCACTATCACGGCCAGCGGCATGCGGATGTACACATCCTTGATGTAGTTCCGCAGCTGATCCGCCGGCAGTAGTTCCGGCTTGACGGGCACGTGGATGTGCTTCGCTTGTTTCCGGGGACTGGTTGTCGTTGGGATTGTTGTGCTCGATGTGGATGTGGTGGAGGGTGATGTCACGGGCCCAGGTGCCTGGGTGGACGAGGGCCAGGGGAAACCGCCGAAACGTGCCCTCAGCACGGGCAGTGGCTCCGGCGACGTGGCTGCGGTTGGATGAGGCTTCACCTCCGCCTGATCGTCGTAGTATTCGTCCTCGGTGGAGTACTTGAAGGACTGCGGCTTGCTCGGACTGGGCAACTGCTGGACTTGAGCCTGGGGCATTGGCTGATGCTGCTCCACCTGGTAGGTGACGTCAATGGGGTGCTCCTCTTCCGTGGATTTCGTGGCCTCCTCCTCCACATACTCTGAAATGTCGTGCTCCTGGTGCTCCCTTTGGGGGAATCGCTCCGCCTTGGCTTGGCGCACATATTCGGGGATCAAGGTGGTGGCCATCCGAGCGGTGGTGCTGGCCATCAACTCGTCCTCGGAGGTGTCGTAGTAGTAGTCCTTCGACTGCCCGCCTGCCGAGTCCACCTTACTGACCCGCTTCTGCGAGGGCGCGTCCTCCATCACTTCGGCAGCCGTGTTCTCCTCCGAGTAGGGAGCCATGGTGTTCAGCCGGCTCTCCAGGGGTCTCAGGGTGCTCATCATGTCCTGCTCCATGTTAAAGCCGCTCTCCGTGTGATCCTCGTCCAGGCTGTTGCGGTGCTGCTGCATCTCCGTTTCCACCTCGATTTCCAGCTGCGTGGGATCGTAGATGTCGTCGGAGCTGCCGGCACTTGCACTGCCCATGTCGCCGCCGTAGTCCTCGTCCTGGGCGAAGACGTGCCCCTGGAAGAGGGCCAGCCCCACGAGGAGCACGCCCATCCAACGCTGTGTTCTCAATATCATTTCGGGGATTTTCTTTCCTCTAATAGTGTCCACTTGCCACCATCCACGTCTGCGCGAAAAAAATCATAAAAAATTATAAATTTTTGAAAGCCATTGGCTGGTTGAATGATTGATTGATTGCCTGACTTCTTTCGCTTACTTAATTGACGCAATTATTTATTATTATTTAGAGTTCACTTTTGGCGAGCCGTTATTTTTAGTTTTTCTACCCAATTAGTAGAGGTAATGGTCTCTTTTTTTCTGATCCGCCGACTCTTCAACACTTTCGCAATGAAAAAGTGAAATGTTTTGACTGCTCGTTTTGTGATTATCATCGGGTTTGTTATTAAAATCATTTTAAATAATTGCCAGTCAAACAAATCGACGCAGAATAGGCAACCAATTAGAGAGATGTGTTAGATTCCAGGAAATTTCCATTCATCTTGTAAGTAATCTTTCTAAAACTATCATCTGTAAGTTACTACCAGATGCAAGTTGAGAGATTTTGCAAAAGTCATGTTCACGGTCATGCCAGCCAACATGATGGACGAGACCCATCAAAATTATTAAATGTAAACAAACAAAAACGATGAGTAAACAAGCCAGTGGCTGCCAGTGTGATGAAAAGTTGGCTAAATCAACGTACTACCAAATGTCTTAATGGCCAGCAATAAAACAAAAGCCAGCATAGGGTAGGGTATTAAAGCCATTTATTCGACGATATGGTCAAGGTTTTCTGTTAAACCTGCTGCAGGTGGAGGCAGAAAACGCCAAAGAAGACGTTGACAATAAAACTAAAAATATATATACATTTTATAAAAAAAAGACTATTTCTTGCAAACGTGTAAGCTTGTATATAATATAGAAATAAAAATTGTTAAACTTGATTAAAGCTGGCGGGAAACACGCCAACTCGGAGCTTCGATTTGCTCAATTTATTATATTTAATTAAGCAAATTGCAATTAACACTTTGCCAGGGCTTTTATTCGCATTTGTGTTGCATTTCGAGCGGCATTGTTTGAATAACAAATTGCCAGCAAATCAATTTAAATGATTGATTTCTTGGCCGAGAGTCGCTGCGAGTGCCGCGTGATGTGCAGGAGGCGTTTATTCCTCCTTCGAACTGGGCAGATGCCATTAATCAACAAATATGCAAAGCCACCACAAAAATAACAAAAATAATATATATATTCAAGTTGGAATTCAAAATGTATCGCATCGATGCGTAAAATGAAAATAAATTAAGCTAAAATATTCTGTATTCGTGTTTCTCGTTTGGCAGCTGCCCGAATCAACTTGAAATTTGTACATTTTTGTGCGTTGCAAGGTCACTGTCGAGAGTCGAGTGGAAAGAGGGAGGTTTAGGGGGGGGACTACCTGATTGCAACCTGATAGCTTCAAGTTTAGGCGCCTTTTCGTCTGCATTTTCTCTTTTTATGAAGAGCCGTGATAACTTTGTGAAAGAGCTGGCACGTCCATCAGGGCTATATTATCGGGCTAAGACCATTGCACAATAATCCTCCATTGAAAAGTTTTCTTGGGGAGATCAGGTCACGTAATTCTTGAGAAGATAGCACCGGAACTAGGTGATCTTATTTGGTGGGAAACTTAAATTCGAGGAAAGAAAGTTTCCTATTTTTGGAAATATGTCTTATAGCTTATAGTAATTGTTTTTAAACCAATTAACAAGATAAGATTAAGACCAACTTGAGCTTTTAACCCACTACCCTATAAGGTTGATAAGTGGCCACTTGAGTGCCCAAAAACTAGATAAGATTGTCCAAGGCAGGAAGTAAAGCCACTAGCCATTTTTACAATCTACGGCTCTTCATTATTTATAGGCAATTTGTTTTATAATTAAGGTATAGTAAAGTCTAGTACCCAATAAAGCAAAACAAAACCCGAGCGGGCAGTTCATCAATCAGCAGCTGATTCGCTTTGGTTCATAAAAAATCAACTCGACAACAAAAAGGTTCTATAAACAAATTAGAGAGGCAAGCACGTTGTCGGTTGTTTTTTTTTTTATTATTTATTTACATATTTCTTTTTTTGTATTTTTTTTTTTTTGTAGCTTTTGCAATTACCGAGAGTCGGCGAGTGCTTAACAGACGCGTAAGCATTTATTTTCGCTATGATTTTTATATCACTCGGAACGTTATTTTGCCGTTTTTATGGCTCCAACAAATTAATGAAAAATAATTGAGAAAATTATAAATTCAAATTGCGTTTGCCAGGCATCCTCCACAGCCCTGCCTGCCCCCCATGGTGATTTCCCTCATCCCATAATCCCCTTCGTGTCAGTTGAATTGAAATGCACTCTAATTGTGGCAGCTTCAGTCGAGGGGGCGCTGTAGACCCTTTGGAGAACCCACGCGCCTTTATTGTTGCTAGATCTCGTTGATTTTCTTGACATTGAAACGACAATTAAAGCTTGTAGTATTTCAAAATCTTTAAAGGGATTTAATGGGCTTAGGGAAACTAATTAACAACAGCACAGAAAAAAGTGACGAGTTTGGTTTGGTTGTTAAAACCTTAACTAATTTATTGCGGGCTGGCAAAAAAAATTATGTCGCTAATGGATAGTTTTTCCTAAAAACCTATTATTTAACACCTCTGTTTTTAATAAATTCTTTCACTTGCCTTTTATGGGAACTTCTTGTCGACGTGGCTTCCACTAGTCAGACTCTTCTTGTTTTGTCTTCTTTTAGATTTTTTTTTCAAAAATGTTTTTATTAATTTTTTGAAAATTGAAAACAAATAACTTAGGCAACAAACTTGTTTTCTCCTTGCAGAGCAGAGCAGAGCACGAAATACAAATCTCAATGAATTTTAATTACACTCCATGCGTTGCACTTTATTTATGAGTTTTGCCCACTTCTTTGCATTGTTTATTAACTTGGCAGATTATGCAAATCGCGGCGGCACCACCACTACCAACTACGATCACCACACACGGCCCAGGAACTCACTCTTGCACCCAAAATGTAATTGCAAGTGGCCGACGAAAGAAAAAAAAACACAAAACATATATTATTAAGAGCGTTCGATTTTCGGCTGTGTGTTGGATTAACCCGTTTAAATATATAAAATATTTCTCATGCGCGACTGGTAGATGTGTGTTTGTTGCGGGTACGGGTACGGAGTACGGACCGCTTTTATTAACTTGGCTGTTGGCAGCTGCTGGTGGCTGGTTGCTGGTTTTGCTGGCGAACGCGTCGACGTCTCAAATGAAACTGAAAGCAGAAACACCAGCTACGGACCTGCGGAGCAATATACCAGCTCTGTACGACTCGGCTTAAATCTGCTCTGCTCTGCGGCTGCTGTTGCTCGGCTCGGCTGTTGTGGCTTTCGGAGCTGCTCTCTTTCTTTTCTTGGCCAAAAGCTACAGCCACATCAGCTGAAGCTTAAGCTGCTGGCTTGTGGCTTCTGGCTGCAACAGGTTGGAATCTAGAAGAGCGTGCCACTGATAAACTCTGAAACCGAAACAACGTGCTGGAGGAGCCGAGCTCAGATAATGCCACAATTGGATATGTTCATGACACGATTGTTTATTAGCCAGCGCCATGGCTTCGCTCAGTAGTATCTTCGGTCAATTAACCTGTTATGCAACTGATAACATAGATCTGGAACAAGATATTCCAGATCTAATATGATTGAAGTAGTTTAGAACTTTAATATTAAAACAGTGTCATCCCATTTCTTAAAATTACAAACAATTATTTTCCATTTTGGATATCTGATCTGCCAAGTTATTTCGCTTAACCCTGTCAGTTTCCTTCTCAAAGTTGTCAAGTAACTGGAACAGTTGAGTCTCCTGGGCCAGCATGTCTTCGTCTAATTCTTCCTTTAGATGATTCCCTCCCTTGATGATCCTTTTTTCCAGTTCTGGAAACTCGCAGAAGGCGCTGGAAACAAATCCCAGGATAGTGCGACCCAACATGGGAGGTGCATGCATGCAGTTCTCTAGGGACTTTGAGGTCAAGTTGAAGTTGCTCGGAAAGGCGGCCAGAAACTCCTGTTGGTCTTCTATGGAACTCCTGGAACTAATCGATTTGCCGCGATCCAAGTAGTCCTTCAGAATCCTCATCTGAGGCTGGAGGCCCTCGCAGGTGGACAAGTCGTTGATCATTTCGGTGACGACCGTTTTCGTGGAGTGTATCGCAGCACTGTAGGCATTGCGTTGAAAAGTCGCCACCTCGTTTAGAAAATTGCAAATTAAGTTTCTATACGAACCGGGATGAGCATTGGCACTAGTCTGTCATTAATGAGGGATTAGGTTTAGGATTTGGTTTAAAGAGGTATTTTCTTGGAAGTTACCATCAGCAACAGGCCAACTATTAGGAAGAGACCACGCATCTTCAAGGGTTTGAAATAAAACTGAGACTTCCCCAAGGCTCAATGGCTTTTATAGGCTTTTGAGAATATATACCTTCGAGCTTATCATCTACTGTCTATGTTTACAAAACTCAAGAAAGTGAACTCCAGGGAAATAGAGTGAAGAGACTGAATAGTTATATATGCCATTAGTTTATTAAACAAACAATTTATAGAATTCTAAGCACACTGATATTGGTCTTTGAGGGCTAGGATGGAAAACCCAATGGCTTCAGTCTGTTCTCCGCTTTTTGTGAGATAATGATCTATGATTCTGAAAATATCCGGCTTATCTGACCTGGCTTCTGGGCTGACTTTCAGATTTATTTCTTCCATGGCAGATACTATTTTAGACTGAAAAGGCACATAGGCAGCCATCATTTTCAGCTCATAATCCTGAAAGGGCTGGTATACCCTTCTTCCCTTTTCGGAGGTAAAGTCTATATCTGGGCTAGGATAAATGGAACTGCAGCCCTGAACATATTCTATCTTTTTCTGTATAGAACTAGATTCATGAATCGCCATTCCCCGATCGAGATAGTCCTGAAGGTTAGTCTTAGTTTCCCTGTATTCGGGATAAGCTGCCATGACTGAGATCGTCTCTTTCAAGACAGTCTTGAAATTATTGAACTTTTGTTCCCAAAGATCGTTTTGGATAGACTGAACTTTTTGGAAGAATGTGCATATAAGAAACTGATCGTCGTCAAGAGGACTACTGCTGGCTAAAGTCTGTAATTTTAAACAATAAATTTGGAATTCGTCTTGCATTTCAAAAATATGTATTCTTACCCACAAAGAAAGTATTAAGAGAAAGGCCTTCATTTATAATTGTTACTCAGTACACTGCATTTTAAATGTCTCTGCTTCAGTGCTTTTATAGCCTTTGATAATCAATGAATATATGTTTTATTTTCTTAAATCCCATATCAGTTCATTAAACCAAAGTTTAAGATTAAGACGAGTTCAGTACAAGTTCAAGACAGCAACGTATATTACTCATAACACCTGATTATATTCTCAAACAAAAAACCTAGAAAACTTTATGGTATTCGCAGTAATACTGGTCAGTAATACAAATTCGTTTCAAGTTCAAAGTTATTAAATTTTTTGCCAAGTTTCTTGAATAGTTCTTTGCATGTTGACCTTTTTTGGGGCAACTGCTGTGGCGAAAACAAACGCATATACAGTCGAATATTGAATATGAAGTGAATTGGTAATCGACTCGTCAAAATTCATGCAAAAACCGATCGAACCGGGGACCGTCTGTGAACTTTTTGTAGGAAGTTCGACTACCCGAGGGGCGGGCGGGCGGTTGGGCGAGCGGTCGGTCGCATTAAAATGGAGCGTGAAATGAATTTAATATGACAAGTCGGAGGAGTTGTCCAGCGCTGATAGCATCAATAAAATCATAATAAATACAAGCCCGTACATACGTAGTCGGCATATATAAACGATCGTGTGCATACATATATTTTTTTGTATGCGGAAATGCTGGGATATTGTCGGCAATAAAGGGTTAAACGAACTTGCCTTGGCTTTCCTTACCTGTGTTTTTTAAAAGTTATCCTAATATTAGGCTTTGGGCAAGGAATTTGTCACTTGTGGCGGTAATAAAAGCCACAAACCAAGCCATTTCGTTTATTTGACTGTGAATAATGTTCCCAAGTCGTAGTTTTTTGTTGAAACCTTTTTGGACCGCAAGAACACATTTTTGCGGTTTTGTAAAACCCCTACACTCCGGTACAATGGTTCTTTTTTTTTGTGCTTCACTTGTATGACAAATTGTTTTGCGTGTTGAGCTTAACTTGACGGATTTTCCCCACAAAATCGTGCTCATCTTGACCTACGTGCGTCTGTTGAAAACTTCCTAAAGTTGGGGGGGCTGTACTCTATAAGAAACCATTGAACCACTCCACCTTCGACTTTGAATTGTTGCACTTCGCGAAGCACCTATTTTGTGGTTAAAAAATGGGTAAGAATCTCTATATCCCACTACTAACAATACTGGCAATAGGGTATATTAGTGTCGTAAGCCTCGGATAGGGAGCTCCCCAACATTTTGAAAACAAATTTATTGCAGCGAGAATTTATGCAGCTCACGCAATTTTCACTTTGCCATTTTTTTTCTGTAGCTGTTGCTGGTTTTTTGTGATTTTTTTAATAATTATGCAATCAGTTGGGTTGCTCGCCTTCTCATACAGCTGCTCCTTGGACTCAGTGTTCAATTAACAACTTTCCGCACTGGAGTGCAAAAAGAAAAACCCTTTCAATAAAACAAATTAAATATTTGGCAATCGTTTTGTGTTGATTTCAGGCCTGACTTCAGGCCGGCTTTTGCCTGCCTGCTCGACTTGTGATGTTGTTTGTGTGTTAACGTTTTGATTCCGATGCTGATGCCGAGGCTGGTTTAATTTTATGATGAATATATAAACACGTACGCATGTCCCAAGAGTGTTAATCAAAAATTACCAACTTGTTTTCGCCAGTGGCAGCCAAACGAGCCGCTTGAAGAACGAACTGGTGCAAGGCGGTGTCAGTTTCGGGCACTATTTAGCACACTTAGTACTTAAAATACTAAAAGGGCACTTTAATTCACTTGTATCCTTAGTCCTTTAGGGAGTATATCACTTGGACTGTCACTACTTTTGGCGAAAACCTCTCCGATTGTTGGCACGAGTGTCGAGCGACTAAAACACACTCCACTAATTACTGACCTTTTTGTACTTGTCGCTCGGGCAAGTGTATTGGTTTTTTGTGGGCTCATAAATTGTTTAAATATTGAACAATTGGTTGCAAATGGATGGATAGATAAACGTTGAAAAGCAACGCCACACCTCGTACAGCCCAATCGATAAGATAGAGTCATAGGAATCCGCAATCGGAATTACCAGGAGGAAGCGAGATTGTCCCAGATGCGTCACGGATGGGCGACAAGTGGGTGTGGCGGTGGGTGGCTGACATAATTAGCATAGCCCGAAAGGTACTTGGAAAAAACCCCGAAAATACATACCTTTGAACACATGTCGGCACCGTCACCTTTTTCACCTTAACGCGCGGCTACCTGAGTTCGCTGCCTAAGTCTTTTGTTTACCTTTCGTCCTGAAACGGAATTTCGGCCATTATTGGACCAGGTAGTTCCCTAAATGATTCTATATAAAAGCATGACACTTTTCTTTGGTACATTAGTTCTGTTAAACACTTGAAATATGCGCTGGTTTTTGGTACTCCTTTCTTTTAATATTCTGGTAAGGAATTTGCTGGAGGACCAAAAGAAATAATCGAAAATAATTATTTAAAATTCAACAGTGCCTTGCTACTGCCTTTCCCTCAAGGTCAAATAATGATTTGGAGGAAAGTTATCCCGGAAGAAATATATTCGAGACTATTGCGAGAAAACTAGACGATTACATAAGCCCAGAAACTATGGAAATTAGAGATAATGTTACCAATGAACTATCTCTTTTGTCCGAAAGAGCTGCTAACTTTTTTGGCAAGACTTTGGAATGTTTGTTTAGCCAGCCATTAAAATAAACTTATTAATCTAGCTTTTATTCGAGAACTGTACAAGTAAACACATAAATGTAATTTCTTTAAAAATAAAGAACCTCAAACCAACTGATAAAGCTTGAGTTATATATATTTTCCATCTGAACTCTATAAAGTAACGTCAGGGACTTTGAAACTGTTCAGTTTATAAAAAACAATTGCGAAATGCAGTGCAAAATAATACTCGTAGTTTTTATTATTTCCCTGGTAAAACCCTGCAGTAAAAATAATTTTATTTGCATATTAATCTTCTAATAAATCGCAGTCCCTAGCCAGCAGTACTTCTCAGAACCCCGAGACCGAGAACTTTTGTGAGTTTCTGAACAGTTTCGAAACCTTTCGTGGGGAGGTTTGGACAAGATTTGTGGAGATATTGAAATCGACTCTGACCAAAATGGTCACTACTGTGCCAGACTGTCCCGACTGCAGACAATATGTTGTCTTTCTTCAAGACTATATAGCCCGGGGCGATACAATCACACCGTCGAGCTCAACGGCCCACAAAATAGAGTACGCCAAGGGATTCACAGAAGCTGTGGACAGGAGATCATCGATAGATCTCAGTTCCTACAACAACGAAGAAGCCCTCAAAGTAACCATGGACTATGCCACCCAGATGTTTGCAGAGTTCTCCAAATTCCGACAAAAACTGGCTGCTGAGGAGAATAAACTGAGGCGTAAAGTGGGCCAGGATGTTGTCTCCAAAGAGGAGGAATTCTTCGAACTTTTAAAGACCTATGGAGGGGGGGCTACGGAATCTAGACGCGAGGCTATAGCCAATCGCATTTTGTCCTTCAAGCAGCAGTATCAGTGTGCTTAAATATTTTAAATTAATTAAGACCCGACTGAAATAAAATGTATACCCTGGCGATAGGGTATCTGAGTTTATTTTTGTTATTTCGCCGCTGGCGGACGCAGACAGACCGTCGTCTCGAGCAGCTTCTTCAGCATCTCTTGGGTCGCGCCATTTCCCAAAAAGCACGCATTTTATTGAGATTTATTTTGATTTAATTTTGGTCTTTTTTTTGTTTTTTTGCCTGCGGGTTCAATGCCAACAATTTAAACCGTCTTTGGAATTTTTTTCTACCTTTTTTTTCTTTCTGTTTTTAACCGCGATTTTGGCATGCGACCTGCACGAGCCTGGGCCCGGGCCTGGGCCTCGACCGGCCAGCCAGCGTTTAAATTCCCCAAATTGATGGCAATCTTTGGAGGCATTGTTTGTTGTTGTATGGAGCTGGCATGCTTGGGTATCCTGCAAATGATTTCATCGTGCTTGACGTGCTTATGTGGGCCTTAATTGTTTTATTTGAGTGCCATTATGTGCAGGCACTTTGGGACAGAGTCCGTCTCGGCGGACAGACCGAACTCGGCAGAGTTTTGGAGTTTGAAGATCTCTTCTCATCGCCTGAAGTGGCCACAATCTGGTTATGATGTCATGCCCAAAATAAAAACAACAACATTCTTCCACCTTTTTATGTTCTTTTTTTGTTGGGAGTTTTTTTTTTGTTTTTTTTAGAAGCAATTGGAATGAAATATGCTGTTCTACTTTTTTCCTCGCATTTGTGGTTAGACGGAGCGTCTTTATTTATTTTAACACATTTGACGCAATGCGTCATTGTCATTGCGAGCATTTGTAAATACTGGTATATAAAAAAGCTGAAAACTGAAAACTGGAAATTTATTTTGTCACTGCTGGCCGTCAATGTTTTCCAAGCCGGAGCCGGAGTCGAAGTCCCAGGCCCCACCTCGGCCAACTAAATAGCTAATCTTTACTTAGCCGTTACAAGCGACGATCCTCAAAATGACGACAAATCCCCCACAATGTCAAGTGCATTTTCAATTTTAATTCTGATTTCAAAGCTTTAACTTTAATAAGTAATATTAAGTATATTCTATAATTTCCTTTACCGGAATCCATTGCATAATGACTAACATTGGCTTATCCTCCAAGGCTAAGCTAATATTTGGGCATTTTGTATCTTTTTGTAAAACGAAACTGAAAGTTTAGTTACTTTTCTGACTCAGTTTACATTTCGAATGAGTGTTCAGACTGGGAAAGATAATTCACAGAAAGAATACAACTATAATTAAGCTCTTTTGCATTTTTAGCTCGAATCAATAAACCTTATGAATAAAGTAATCTTACATAATTCCCATTCTAATTACCATATATATAGGAACCTCCTACAGGTGATTAATGAACTTGCCTTCAGACGCATCCGAGTTTCGGTTCTAAGCTTTAGCAGATACCTGTTCGATCGACCAAGAACTTATCTAATTCATGGGTCACATTTGGAATCCCATTCATATTTGTTTGCCAAGCAATGCCAGATCTGGTTATGCACCTGCGGTCTATTCCATGAGCTTGCTCGGCCCGGAGAATTCCAAACTCGCGCTTGAATATGCGAAACATGCAGTTCTTTAAATAGTCTCGGGGGTCTTCGGGGTGTGAAAACCTTTCGGCCAGCCGAGACACTTTACTCACTTCGTGGCTTCCAAATCACGTTTCAAGATCGAGGTAAATTCTTTGACGTATTCGCTGGCGAAATGGCACGTTTGGCATGTCATCCCACCGCATGGCATGGCATCGCGTGGTTGGTGCGGCAAAATAATGCTTTCATTCCACATCGACCACATCGGCCGACTTGGAAGAGCTTCCTCTTCAAATGCCATGACATTTGGTGTCCGTCGTCGCTGGCTAATGTCAAGATTTGGCTTTTTATGACACCCTCACCGAGACTGCATGGCAATAATCACTGAAAATATATAAAAACTCGATTTGGATTTAAAGTGTGGCTCTAAAACGTTAGCTGACCTGTTTGTTTGCCTGCCTGCCTGCTCGTGGATTGAAGTGGTTGTTAATTATGGGTTAATCAAATTGTTGAACCATAAAAGATAATATAATATAGAGGCATTTGGAGAGGGGAAAAATTATATTCAAGAAAGAGAGAAATATTATATCCTATGTAAAGCAAATCTTTACACAAACATGGGATTTAAAGCATATATTTCCAGAGGTTATGGGATTTTCCTTGTGCAGTTTATAATTTAATATAAAAGTTCCATTCTTGGAGGTGGAAATATTGTACCTATCTCCTATAGGTCCTTAGGCTCTTTTTCTTCCAGACCAATTTTATATTCCAGACCGAAAAAATAATAGTCATAAAATCAAGCAGTCATATACTCTTATTACATTTAAACCTTAGATCTTGTGGTTCTTTCTTTGAGACTATTTTAGTTTAATGAATTTAAACTAAACTTCTGACCAAGTACTTATTGAACAACTGGGATCTGGGAGTCAAGGGATCAGGCACTTATATATAGCCTATACAAGTCCAATCTTTACTCTGTGTAGATCATAGATCCCATCTAAATCATAGATCTCTTAAACTTATGCATCTTTCTTTGAATATCTTATAGTGTGATGCATCTATAAAATTTTTGTTGAACTGCAAAATACATATCTATAGACTAACTACTTTTGACCAAGTTACTACTTTTGACCAAGAAGAACCGAAAAGTTAAAGTAATGAGATAAAGTTGTAATATACCCTATTTGTGGGTACATATATCCCTGTGCTCCATTTGTGTCAAAGATTCCTTCTAAATCATAGACGATAATACATAGATTAAGCTCTGAATGACTTATGATGTAATTTGTAAAATTTATAGTTTAGGATAGAAATTGGCATCTATAGGCATGCATTCCGCAATTCAGAATAGAATATGAGTCCAATCTGTCTATGAATATAGGCTTATACCATACCATTACTTTTTAAGATACTTTTAATATAACAGAAAAAGAAAACTAAAAAACAAATATCTTAAAGCCTGCTGATGACAACTGCCAACTTTGTCTGGCCTAGCTGGCCTAGTCCAAGTATAAGTCTCCGGCTTTGTCGTCATCTCCACGGATTCCATTCCAATACCATCTCCCCCAGCCCAAGTGCGGACTCGTCGCAAACCAGTTTGAAGTCGATTCCGTTGTTAATTGTGTTTGTCCGCCGGTCGATTTCAATTTGCATTCATTACAGGCCATACCATTTTGTATATTTGTTGTATTTTGATTTGTGCTCGGTCGGAGCTTTTCTGGCCGGAGAACGAGAACGAGCGAGGTGGTGGACCCGCCCATATAACCACTTCCGAGTTGGCACCTTAACGTCATTAGCTAATCTTGATTTTGTGTTTCCCTTTCCTCTACAGAACCCAAAACACTAGTGACTGTGGGCCAGCCCTCGAGCATAGACGACAGCGAGGCGCTTGACGAGATCAACTTGAACACCAGCAGCGAGGATTCGCTGGGCTTGAGTGGATCAAGTCCCTACCGCGGAGCAGGTCCCGATCCGAACGCTAATCCCTTGCTGGAACCACCGCCAGGAGTAGGCAACGATTCCCTGCTGAGCCAGGCGGCCTCCTCCTTCAACGCCCTGCCCTTGGTGGCCTCCAATGTGTTCTCGAGCTTCTCGAAACGGATCTACGCCGCCGGCAGCCGGGAGCAATCGGAGGAGCCCAGGTTGGACATCCAGCCAGCCTACATTCAGCAAGCAAACTACGCACCGCCGCCCGCGGCAGTAGCTCCTGTGCCGGCTCCTTTCTACGCCGGTCCCCCACCAGCAGCGGACGAGGTGGTAGCCCCCGAGCCTCCAAAGCTCTACGCACCCACTGAGATTCCCAGCTCGAACCCAGGGGCACCTGCACCCCCGCCCACTGCGGGAAATCCGAATTCATACCGGTTCACGGCTCGAAAGAAGCTATACGCTCCCATTCCTGGGTTCTCCGAGCAACAGGCGGCACAGGCTCCGCAGATTCCGCAGCCTCTGCCCTTCCAGACACCACCATATCCGACGCAGCCAACTCCAGTTGCCGCTCCCAGTCCGGCTGCTTTTGACATATCAGCCCAGCCAGCTCCAACTCCTGTAGAGGAGCGCAAATCCGGAGGCGGACTCTTCTCCCTGACCAGCCTTGTGCCGCAGGGCGTGCTTCAGAACATCTCCGGATTGGTTCAGTCCGTCACTGGCAACCAGGAGCCGGTGAATAACCAGCCCAGCAGCTCGGGCGGTTACTTTGACGTTTCCACTGGAGGACAACAGGCTCCTCCGACCAACTTCTTTGGAGGACCAACGCCTGCCCCTCCGCCGGCGAGTAATTACTTCACCCCGGGCGGTGCTCCACCTGCGCCAGAATCAGTGGCACCTCCTCCTGTTGGAGGATTCTTTGCACCACCCATCAGTGTTCCAGCACCAATAGAGAGTAATCCACTGCCACCTGGAGCACCACCATCGGGGCCAGTAGGACTATTCACGCCTGGAGAAGCACCACAGGCCGTAGGACAAATATTTAATCCTGCACCCTCTAGTTCTGGACCTTCTACCAATCCGATCCCAGGACCTCCACCCACAACTGCAGCTGGCTTCTTCAATCCAGGATTAGCTCCGGCAACTGTTGCTACTCCACCGTTGGCTCCTCCATCGGCAGGACCACCACCAAGCCTTCCTCCAGCATCAGTACCCGAAAATTTCTTCACCCCCGGACTTGTCCCAGCTGTTGCTCCAACAGCAACACCACCGCCAGCTGTAGCAGGATTTTTGCCACCTAATCCGAGTCCCCTGCCAACTGGACCTCCAGTAGCAGCTGCTGCTCCACCGCCAGCCGCTGGTCAGGCTTCTTATCGCCTCCAAAAAGGCACGCGTCTCTACAAGAGCCCGCTGACGGCTCAGGAAACTGCAGCTCCTTCGGGCTATTCCGCACCTTTGGCTCCCACAGCTGCGCCGACTGCTATCTTCAATCCGTTTGGAGCTCCCGCACCAGGTGTCAATCCAGTTGCTGACAACAGCCAGGGAGTAGCTCTCTTTCCACCATCAGCTGCGGTTGGAGCTCCTCCTCCAAGTGCAACCAATCCTCCACCATCAGTAGGACTTACAAGTGTCCCACTCTTTGCTGCTCCACCAACATCATCGGGAATTCCTTTCTTCAATCCTCAGCCATCGGCAGAAATCAAACAGGACGTTCCACCGGCTCAGGTGATAGAAGAAGCTCCTCAGCCTCCGGTTCTGCAACTATTAGCTCCACCGGTTCCAGACCAAGAGTTGAGCAGTGCCGTTAATGCTCCTCCCCCAAGTATAGTTCCAACAGTAGGACTCACTAGTGTTCCACTATTTGCTGCTCCACCGGCATCATCCTCGGCGATTCCCTTCTTCAACCCTCAGCCAACGTCAACTCCTCAGCCTCCGGTTCAGGAACTATTTGCTCCGCCTGTGTCAGCGCCAGGCCAGAATCCGTGTATTTTTGCTCCACCTTCAAGTGTAGCTTATCCTCCACCGGCAGCTGCTCCACCAGCATCGTCATCGGCGACTTCCTTCTTTAATCCTCAGCCAACGGTTGAAACGTCATCGGCTCAAGTGATCGAAGGACCACCTCTACAGGACCAGCCATCAACCCAAGGAATCCCCTTCTTTGCTCCACCACCGCCGGCTACATCAGGAGTTGCTCTATTTACACCGCAACCTACCCAAGAACTGGGAGCAGAAAAGGACCAGGGATTAGCTCTCTTTGCACAACCACCAAGTCAGCCCAAGTTAGAGGCTCCACAGGAAACTACAAACAGTGTTTCTCTATTTTCTGCTGCTCCTCCGGTGGACAACCCTCTTTTTACACCCCAGGGAGTTCCCTCATTTGCGCCAGGAGTCATTGAACCCGTTATCGAGGATTCACCTCCAGCCCCCCAGCCGGAATCGAGTGCTTCACTTTTTGCTCCTGTGAGTGAGCCAGATCGAGGAGCTGCTGAAGCACAAGCTGAGGTTTCCTTCAACCAGGCTCCTCCTCTGTTTGTGCCCGTGCCAGCGCCAGCTGACCAAAGTCCAGGAGTGCCCTTGTATCCTCCAGTTGCAAGTGCAGCTTCCAGCGCAGCGCCGTTCGCTCCTGATCTTATAAGTAAATGCGCCCCGGATCTTGTGGCTTCGAGTCTCGTTCCCCCAGCAACCGCAGACGTCTTGCTATCTGCTCCCAATCCTGTGGCCTCAAGTGCATCTCTATTTGCTCCGACTATACCAACTGAATCCCAGTCGGATATTGGACCACCTCCAGTGGTTGAGCCACCCACTGCTCCTCCTGCGATTGGTTTCTTTGGAGCTCCAGAGGCGACTACTGCGAGTCTGTTTACAGGAAGTTCCGGAACCCAGACTGTCTTCAGTCCACTAGCACAGACCATAACCACACCCCAGATTCAGGACGCCGGTCAGGACCTGGTGCCACCACCAATAGGATTCTTTTCCCCACAGACCGAAGGCGAAGTTGTAGCTCAACCACCACCTGCTCCCTCGCCCCTACAGAGCTTCTTCGGCGCTCCGACAGCTGGAGCCTCTGCTACTGAGGAGTTCAACTTCTTTGCCAATCCAGCACCTGGAGTCTTTCCGGACTTACCTGTCCAGCAAGGGATTGCTCCGCCACCTCTGGCCCAAGAGCCACCGCCAGCAGAGAGCGGCGCTACACCGGCTGCCTCCTTGGGTTTCGATAATCTACTAAACCAATCCCAGCAAGCGCCACAGCAAACACCAAATTCGATTGAAAATTCGTATCCAAATTCAAGTGCCAACACTTTTGAGTTCTTTGGAGGCGCTGGTGCCCCTCCTCCGACATCAGCCGTCGATTCATCCATTGCTGCACTTCCTGTAACTGCAGCTGTTGATCCGGGCAACTTTTTTGACCAGGTGCCACCGGAGCAGGAGCAGCCGGGTAACGAGGATCAGCGAATCCAGAACTTCTTCAACAACCCACCGCTTCAGGACCAGCCCGCCGCTCCCGGTGAACTCAAATACGATATTGTGCACAGTGGATTGGCTGTCAAGGAGTTGGCGCCACGGTCACAGACCCCTGTATCCAATCTGGTAGAGCCGCCCTCGTCGGCCTGCTCCGAGTTCTCGACCCTCGCACCAGCTCGCCAAACGGGAGACGATCTAATCCAGCAGCATCTCGGGGAGTTGCCCGAGGAGATTCTGAAGCAGCTTAGGATGGCCACCGCCAGCGGGAGCAACGATAAGGGCCAGGCGTCCGCAACGCCTTCAGTGGCAATAGTAAGTACTTTGAAAGTTTTTCGAAAAATCGTTAAACTAATTATGGGTTTCCTTTCAAGCCTTACACCCCCGCCCTGGTGCATTGGTTTTACAAGCGTAGTGTGGACAGCAAGTTCATCTGGACACCATTCAGTCACTATGATTCCGCATTGCTGGAAACGAGCTTAAACAGTGGTAAGTCAGAGGACTTCCAAAGGACCTTCCCCCATCTTAGAATTCCATCTCCTTGCAGACGATTCCACCCTGATTGTGCCAGTAGAAGGAGGACGTTATGACGTCAACATCAAGGAACGCTCAAAGACTCCTGTTTACTGGGAGGGCAAGGCCATCGAGGTGCGCCGCTGTTCGTGGTTCTACAAGGGCGTCGACTCCAAGTACGTGCCCTACACCGAGGACACGGCCGCCCTATTGGAATCTGAATATCAGCGCTCCGCGGAAACCGGCGAGTGGCACCAGAAGATCATGCTGGCCAATGGCGAACAGGTGGTCTTCCACGGCCCCACCGTCATTGTGCACTTTCTGCCCCAACAAAATGGCGACACCTGGGGAGCCAGCACGCAGGGCTCTATGCGGCCGAGGGTTGTGAAGAGAGATCTGGACGACTTTACCATCGATCAGGGAGAGTCTCAGCGCGTGGATCACCTGCTCTTCATGGTTCATGGCATTGGGTCGGCTTGCGACCTGAAAATGCGACCAGTGGAGGAAGTGGGTGAGTCTTCTGGGTTTCATTACTAAGTTATAGCCAAAACCACTTAATGATGTTCCATTGCAGTCGATGACTTCCGGATCATTGCCCAACAGCTGGTTCAGTCGCACTACAAGAACTCCACGGACATGGGTCTCGTGGGTCGCGTAGAAGTCTTGCCCATCTCCTGGCACAGTCACCTGCACTCCGAAGAACTGGGCATCGACGAGAAGCTCAAGTCCATTACCTTGGAGTCCATACCACGGCTGAGAAACTTTACCAACGATACCCTGCTCGACGTGCTCTTCTACACCAGTCCCAAGTACTGCCAGAAGATCATGAACACGGTGGCAGATGCCCTCAACGAGGTGTATCTGAAATACAGGATGCGGCATCCGGAGTTCAATGGTGGTGTGTCGTTGTCCGGGCACAGTCTGGGCTCCCTGATTCTGTTTGATTTGCTTTGCCACCAGGAGCCGCTCAAGGAGAGCGAGGAGGAGAACAAGGTGAGCATCTTACTTTAATGGTTACTCCTTGATGTTTGTATCAACTAATCTTATTCATTAAGGAGAACCCGGACCAGCTGCCCTTGAAGGCCCAGAAGGTACAACTGCCGAACAACGACTTGCTGCCCAAGGAGGTTAGCTACGCGATGGGTCCGGCCGGAACAGGCCAGCCGGTAATCAACTACACCCAGTTGATCTTCCATCCCAAGAAGTTCTTCGCCCTGGGCTCGCCCATCGGCATGTTCGTGACCATCCGAGGCATCGACAAGCTCGGCCTGGACTTTAGCCTGCCCACGTGTCCCGGTTTCTACAACATATTCCATCCCTTCGATCCGGTGGCCTATCGAATCGAAGCCCTGGTCAACCCGGACATGAACGGTATAAGGCCTGTGCTGATTCCCCACCACAAGGGCCGCAAGAGGATGCACCTGGAACTGAAGGAGACCATGACACGAGTGGGGGCGGATATCAAGCAGCGATTCATGGACACATTCAAGACCACCCTGGACAGTGTCAACTTCCTGACAGCCGTAACGAAAGTGAAGAAGGAAGCCGAAGAGTCGTTGGAGAAGGAGAAACAAAAGGTGGGTTAGGAGCGTGGATTTCATCAACTATTCTTAATTTTAAATTCTATTAAAGGGTTCCACGCAGTCGCTGCAAAAGCAAGCGGAAGACCAGGACGACAACTCAGTGGCTAGCACGAGTTACAAACTGCGAACCCGCTCCGATTCCAACTCGACCACCGCCTCCGATCCGGAGTTTGTGGAACTGGACTTCCCGCTGGGAAAGCTCAACGACTCTAAGCGGGTGGATTATGTGCTGCAGGAAGCGCCGCTCGAGTTCATCAACGAATATATCTTTGCCCTGAGCAGTCATGTGTGCTACTGGTGAGTAAAGGGCTTCCTCCTTTGAATCGACTCCCTAAAATGGTATAATTAACAGGGGCTCCGAGGACACGATACTGTTCGTGATGAAGGAGATCTACGCCAGCCTGGGCATTAGCACCGACAGCCAGGTGCCGCAGTCATCGATGACAATCGAACGACCCGTCTCGCACGAGAGCGGCATTAACCAGGCGTTGCTGCCGATGTGAGTCCACTGTCCACCACCACCACCAGTCGCTACCATACCGACAGCGTACACGCCACACCAACTATAATTATTTAGAAACAATTTATATAGATACGTTATTTGTTAGCCAAATCATACAAAGATTTTTCCATATGTGCAACTCTAACTTGGTTAATGGTATTATCAAAGTAAGAAGTCTTGTATCGTCTTGTTCCGAGTGACTAATCCGCTGGCAAAAGCTAGGCCCGGGTCTCGAGCTATATTCACCGGCTGCTGCTCTGGGCACCGCCGAGCAGTGCAATTTGTTATTTTTGTAATATTGAGTGTAACTGAATTTTTTAAAATTTATGCTAAAGAAAAGTGTATGTCCAACTAAAACCGAACTAATAAAATATATTACTAAAAACATTATGTTTTTGGATCTAAAACGCCCTCGTCCCAGAGAAACTTTGGCGGCTGTCTGTGCATTTAATTGGACCAATTTAATACTTTCACGTTGGCTTTAAAAAACATGGTTATTTTGATCTTGCATATGTACATAAAAGCATAAAATATATTGCAAAAATACATATGTATACATGGTATGTGTGTACTCTATAGCTAGTCTCCTCCATAAATCCTCCAATTAGAATAATTGTTTACATCTGAACACTTACATCCTCTTTGTCCTAAACTTTACACCCTAAATCTAAAACGTATGTTGAGTTTACTCTCCTTTTTTTAGAGTCCGTGTGCTTTTATAAATCTTTATGTAAATCTGTTCAAAACTAAGGTATTGTTCGTTAAAAATTGCTTTAAAAATATAAATATCGATAGTTTAACAAGTAAAATGAAATAATTTCGTTAGAAAAGCTGGATAAAACAAACAAAAGCCAACAAATCCGTAAATAAGGTATACACATTTCATCCGCATGAGCATCTGCATGGAGTTCTGGTGTCAAAGCGACTGTTCGGTGACCAGCACAACACTCTGCTCCTGGGCAATGGCCGCCAGCTCCTTGAGCCACTCGTCCAACAGGACGGCGCACAGGGCCAGGTCTCGGGAGCGTTCCGTGCCACTTGTGCTGGCAATGATGCCCATCGAGGCAACCGAATCGAGGGACACGGGCTCGGAGTTGAAACTGGGTGGGCCGCCGTCCAGGCCGTGCAAGGTGCTTGACGAGTGGGTGGTGGTGTTGGAGTGGGCGGAGAGCGTTTGGGAGGATCCACCGATGCTGCTGTTGCTGCTGCTTCCGGAAGCTCCAGTTGCCGTCGCGATGCGTGGCGGTTGCGTACTTAAACTGGTCTCACACGTGCCCGACGTCTGCTGTCCCTGGTTGAATCCCCGGCTCTCTGAGCTTGAATTGTTTCCCACCAGCGAGGAGGCAGCTCCTAAAAATTACAACCCATATTAGCACATACTTTGAATGAAAGGTTTTTTTTAGTTAATATTTAACAGCAACGATAACAAATACATCAAATAAATGAAATAACACAAATGAGATTGTCTTCCATTTAGGGATTAGTAGAAAGCATAATATACAAAGCTCTTAAGGATCAACTACGAAATTTTAGAAGAACTATGTCGGGTTAGGTTACTTAAATATTTAAATACTTTTATCAAGCGTGACATATTTACCGGTGAAGAATGCGTAAATTTGTGATAAGCCAGATGAAGCTAAGAATTGGTTTTTTGTTTTGTTTTTTTTTTTTATCAATAAAAAATAAATAAAAAGAAATTAATTAATTGGAAGCAAATACTTCTGCTAGAGACTTTTTACAGAGATGTGTGAAGGACCTAATAGAGCCCTGAATGAGATCTGAGTTCGAGACATGGTCTTCAGTCTTCAGCAGGGCCGTAGCTAGAGCCTCGGGGGCCCTGGGGCACCGCCCCGCCTGCCCCATGCTAGCTACGGCCCTGGTCTTCAGTCTCTCATGCAGGGCTTTAGTGAGTAACGTGTGTGTGTGAAGTGAAATTATGTATTTTGGACCCAAAACCAACTTCTTTCCAACATCCAACGCTGCTGACTTGTAAACCGTTGGTGATTTCTATTTTGTTTGCTTGGTTCTTTGTAGAAATAAAGAAATGTGCCATAGTGTGCCAGAGAGGATTCTGTAGCTTCTACTTACCGGAAGATCCATTGACTGGCCCTGCCGATGGGGCGGCTGGAGGAGCAGATTTTCTGCTAAACAGCGTGGTAATTGACTTGCTAATGCTCCGCCTCTTATTGTCGCTGCGCCTGAAGGGATCATAGGCACTGGTGGGCGTGGCCTGCACAGGTGTGGCAGCCGAAAGGGTCGCATAGGCCGATCTTTGTTGCCCTTGCTGCTGGGCGGGATTTATAGCCTGTTGTTGCTGCAGATTGTGGTGCGACGGGGAACCCTCATTGCCTTTCCGAGTGTTCACCAAACGGAACTCTCGGTCGATGAGCGAGGACCGGGCCACATCGATAATCTCCAGGGAGTCTTCGGTGACCGGCAGCTCGGCATCGATCTGTTGCTTGAGAATACGCAACACCTGGTGGAAGGATGGGGTGTCCGAGGTGATGACGATGTCAGAACGAAGCAGCAGCGAGTGGATCAAAGGTAGGGGGTACCAGGCTAGCCGGGTGATGAGGCCGGTCAGGTGAAGATTGACGTACAATGAGTTGCTGGTGAAGGTCTGGAGCTTGCCCCAGATGGCATTGAGGAAGGGACCTAAAAACAAGAACAGAAAAGTGAATAAAGCGCTGGAATGAATAGCTGAACACCCTACCTAAGCTCACGGTGCCCTGGGCAAACAAATCCTCCGAGAAGTCCAGATCCGTCAATACCAACTCATTGCGATTGTTGTGCGAAACGCGCCAGGACTCTCGTCTGCCAGACGCAACCAATCCACTGCTGATGCTACTGCTGTTGTGCTCCAGCTCCACCTCACTGGCGGTTGTGGCCAGAGTAGTGTCTGTGGCTTCGCTCTCCTCGTCTGCCGGTCGCCACTTGAACGACTCATAGCCGCTGGACTCGCCAATTGATTGCAAGCTGTCCAGCTGCTTCTCACCCGTCTCACTGGACACAACCGGGCCACTGCCTCCGTATTCGCTGAAGAACTGCCTCGCCAAGTCGAGGGCGTGGGCTTGGACGCGACCCTGGCCGTGCCGGGGCCACTTCTGATACCGATAGCTATTCGCCCACTTGAGACAGTCCCTCTGGCACTGGGCGATCCTCCAGTGCGCCTCGAACAAGTACGCCTGAATGTTGGCATACAAACTATCACCTGTGTGCACCCCATAGTAGTTCCAATTGGCGCCTATGGTTTTGCTCATAACCGGCGAGGGGATATCCCCCACCACCGGGTGCTCTTGGAGGGCCTTGGGCTTGGCCAAGTCCCTGGCTCTTTTCATCACATCCGGCGACAGCTCCAGGAAGAACTCGCTACTGCTCAGATAGGGATCGATCTTGTTGATCTTGTGGCGATGCGAAAGGGGCACGTGCTTGCCCGGCAGCATAAACTTGAGCAGCAGTTCCAGCATCAGGTCCTCGCAATGCAATCCCAGAAGGGTATCAAACAGTGCCAGTGTCACCATGCAAAGATTGGCGTCGGGCGAGTTTAGTCGCTCCACTAGAGCATCCAGGATCCGCTCCCCGTCGAACTTCTCGTTGTCCAGCAGGAAACGCACAAAGGCTCTCAGCAGACCCGGTTCGGTGATAGAGCGCAGAATCAGATCCAGGTAGGACATGGCCGAGATTTGCGAGTCGATGTTCGTCTGAAAATGTTTGCCCTTCAGTGTCTGCGAAAATGGAGCGTAAAAAGTTGTTTCGAGATTTCGAGGTGTGTGTCTGGTTAGCTACGGGATAGGAAAAGGTACAGGAAACACAGAAAAAGAAACAAAAAGCCGAGGCAGTGCAGAGTCCTGAATAATAAAATGTACTCTGAGCGGGTAAAAATAATACTACATATCGGGTATAAGATAAAGGATATTTTCTTAAACTTTAATCAAGAAAAGCATGAAAAAATGCAAAATTTATCATAGTATTTAATTAATTAATCATCAAAGTTGAAAGAAACTCATAAAAAAAAGAATTTTGTGAATTATTTTATGAAACATCAAAAATGAGTCTTAATTCCTATTCATAATTTTTAATACATTTTTCAACTTAAACAAAGGAATTATTAATCAAAAAACAATCATGTTGTAAAACCACTGCTTAGTTTATATCATTTTTAAAAAATGCCTTAAAAAATAAAGATATTAAAAGATTCAAAGAGCTGGACAAATATAATATGCTTGCAACCAACACCACAGAAATGCATCGAAGACAAATTTTCACGTGAGGAGACCGAGACGAGGACGAGACAGAAGCAGAGCAAGGACTCACCTGCAGGATTGCTGGACCCAGAACGGGCACAATGAAGCCCTGGTACATAAAGTCCAGCAGCTGCTGTTTGATCATCTCATGGGCCACCTGCACCACCGCGTTACAAAACTCCAGGGCGTTCATAAAAAGTGTCAGCTCCGGAATCTCCGTGACATCGTCCGGCGTAATCCTGTGCCAGTCGATGGCACTTATCTCGATGCTGTTGGGCAGGCGCGAGTAGAGGCCACCGAGGCCGGTAACCAGCAGCGGGCATATCGACGAGTACTGGGCTATGTAGGTTCCGATGTTGGAGTTCTTTTGGGAAAGCGCCATACAGAGGAGCAGGGCATCGCGAGCTTGGTGTCCCAGACTGCCCTCGCGATGAACATAGGGGATTAGCAGCGAGAAGATAATGAAGCTGCAGAAATAAATCACAAATTATTTAAATTTTCTCCAAAAGCTACCCCTTTTCTTAATTACTTGGTTGTGGTTCCACTTTTGGGAGGCGGCACGCTACCGTTTTGAATCTGCTCCTGCACCTGGGTCTGGGCGGAAAAGAAGAACAAGTCCAGCAGGTGAACATTCTGCATTAGAACCACGCACAGCTGGTTCAGCAGGATGACCAAGCGCTTCTCCAAGTCGGGCGGAAATATTTCGCCCTGGCTGGATGCCAGGATCTTGAGCAGGGGTCGTAGGAAGGGTTCGTGGCAGAGCAGCTGGTGGCGCGAATGGCTCACCAACAGCTCGTACAGCTTCAGTTGTTCCAGTCGAACCGCATTGGCATAGCGACCGGTGGCGCAAGACCACTCGTAAAGCTTATCCAGCAGATTCTCGCTTAGCAAGTACTCCAGGCAGGGTGCCGCTGGTGGGCCACTGGCCTCCGTGGTCGGCAAGGCCACTTTGTTGCAATGATGGAGCTCGACGAGCAGCAGCGTCACCATATAGTCCAAATGCGAGACCACGCCTAGGACGTCGTCGTGCGAGGGCGGAGCACTGTGCTGGATGATCTCATGGGCTTGCTGCCAATGCTTGCAGAAACTGTCGTAGCAGGCGCGCGGATCGCAGTCCGTCGCCGCATCAATGGGCCGCTGGCGGATGTTGCCGGAGTGTCCGGCGGAGGCAACGCCCCCACTGCTACTCTGGCGCAGCCAGCTCATGGTTTGTTTGAGTATTTCACTGATAGCAGCTCCCGGAGGTACTTGCTGTGCGTTTAATTTGGCATGTACTGGTGGGTGTTGCTTATCGCAGCTTTGTGCTTTTGTCCGACTCTTCGTCTTTGCTAGTATGCGGGTGTTGAGTATTCCGATGTGGTAGGTCTGTAAATAATTACAGGCTAGAAACAAAAATGCAAAGCGTTAGCTGAATATCCGCTCGACTAAACCAAAACGGGCAGAAAAACAACAAGTGCATGCCGTGACACAATTTCAACACACATACTAACATAAGTGCACACGCGGTCATAAAAATAGAAACCAAAAATAAATGACATGATTCCAGCTCTTTTCAGAAATAGACCTTCTTGAGTCATATTTGAAATAAAATCAACAGGTTAGAAAAAGTCGTATATTTTTTATATTGGTACATTTTTATGGTTGCTATAATTTTGACCGCAGGTGCGTACACATATACAGGTAGGTGTGGGCTCACATATTTGGGCAATTGTTGTTGTTGCTGCTGCTCGCTCACCTGATGAATTTGTATTTGTTCTCTGGCGTCTTCGTCATTTCCTTCGCCTGCCGCCGCTCATCACTCCTGGTTTCTTCCACTCCGAGCATTGCTCTATTTGTTTCTATTATTTGATAGCATTTGCTGATATATTTTGGCACTTGGGCAGCTACAATTACATTTACAATTAAGAGTACGACCTAACACGGAGGCAGTAGGTTTGCTGGTTGATTTTCATGCAAAGCGATGTTTTCTTTTGGCTTAAAAACACGGTGGCAATCCTTGCAGCCCCTCAATGTCCCATTTTAGTTTGTTTTCGACATTTTTGGGTAGCAAATTCGCGTAAATATTTACAAATTTTCAGCGCACGGAAATAGAAAGTAATAATGAATGAAAACAGTGCTGCAAGGTGCCCGATATTGTATTTTTTGGTATTTTTGGTATTTAGTGTGGATATTGAGAGGCTACCGATAACTATCTAAATAAACCGATAACAACTACAGAACCAAATTATCGATAATTTTCAGGGCTGCAGCATTTTCCATTCAACACAGCTGATAATAACATAAGAATTGTGAAATCCGTTTTGATAATAGATACGACACGCTAATTAGAGTACCCGAAAAGATGCAGAAAGTGCTGGGCCGTATACAGGCGCACATCCTGCGCACACGCTCTCAAAATGCCAGTGTTTCCATGGTTAGACACGACTCCACGAAGCCGGCTGCCACTTCAAAAGGTACTTTTTGAAATATTCCATGATTGCACTTAACTCTTACTGAAACCCCACAGAATTTCGTGAGCGCCAGGTGCGTTTCAACATAAAAAATGAACAGACCGAGGGTCGTCCTCTGTATTTGGATGCGCAGGCTACCACACCGATGGATCCCCGTGTGCTGGACTCCATGCTCCCCTTCCTAACTAACTATTACGGCAATCCACATTCCCGGACTCATGCTTACGGCTGGGAGACAGAACAGGCGGTGGAGAAGGCGCGAGAACAGGTCGCCACTTTAATTGGTGCCGATCCCAAGGAGATCATCTTTACTTCGGGCGCCACAGAGTCGAACAACATTGCCGTCAAGGGGGTGGCCCGCTTCTATGGAGCCAAGAAGCGGCATGTAATCACCACACAGACGGAGCACAAGTGTGTTTTGGACTCCTGCCGCGCTCTGGAGAACGAGGGTTTCAAAGTCACCTACTTGCCGGTGCAGGTCAACGGCATCATAGACATGAAACAGTTGGAGGAAACCATAACACCAGAAACGTCACTGGTGTCCATTATGACGGTGAACAATGAGATCGGAGTCAAGCAGCCCATCAACGAGATTGGCCAACTTTGTCGCTCACGCAAAGTATTCTTTCACACGGATGCAGCTCAGGCTGTCGGTAAAATCCCGCTCGATGTGAACGCCATGAACATCGACCTGATGTCCATTTCCGGACATAAAATCTATGGCCCGAAAGGCGTGGGCGCCTTGTATGTGCGTCGCAGGCCGCGAGTTCGTTTGGAACCCATCCAGAGCGGCGGTGGACAGGAGCGTGGCCTGCGAAGCGGCACTGTTCCCGCTCCACTTGCTGTAGGTTTGGGAGCCGCTGCCGAATTGGCTCTACAGGAAATGGATTACGACAAGAAATGGGTGGACTTTTTGTCGAACCGCCTGCTGAACAGGATATCGAGTGCCTTGACACATGTGATTAGGAATGGAGACCCCGATGCCACCTACAATGGTTGCTTGAACTTGTCGTTTGCCTATGTAGAGGGCGAGTCCCTTCTGATGGCCCTAAAGGATGTGGCTCTGAGTAGTGGCTCCGCCTGCACTTCTGCCTCCCTGGAGCCCTCCTATGTACTGAGAGCCATTGGCACCGATGAGGATCTGGCCCACAGCTCCATTCGTTTCGGAATCGGTCGCTTCACAACCATAGAGGAAGTTGACTACACGGCAGATAAGTGCATTAAGCATGTGGAACGATTGCGTGAAATGTCGCCTCTGTGGGAAATGGTCCAGGAGGGCATCGACCTTAAGACCATTCAATGGTCACAGCACTAAGCACTATGTTAGTCGTTACTGTTATTATGAAAGCGAAATAAATTAGTCTGAGAGTACCAGTTTCCAGGTTTAATTTAAATGTTTGAAAAATATAAAAATTCAATTTAAAAAAATCATCTTTTGTGATAAATATTGTAGAAGGGAGCAAGCGAAACAAATTCGTTTAAAGATTATCTAGTTTATTTGTACACAAAACCACTTATAACTAAGCTTAGTCCGAACGAATGTGCTTGTGTAAGAGGTGAGACAAGAGACCCCAAACGCGAACGTAGCTCCAAAGGCCAAAGATATGCAAATGATGCAATATATAATTTGCATCCACCGATTTAACTGGCGATCATCGGTCAAGGTTCACATTCAGTTGGCCTTCTTTTTGGGGGCAGCTGCTCCTCCGCCCAGGATCTTCCGGCGCTGGGCAAACATGTGCAGATACAGTTGCGGGAAGATGGGAATGTAGCCCAGCATGACTATCCACAGGAAGCCAAAGTAGGAGAATGTGGCGTTCCACTTATTGGGCATCACTACGCTCCACACGCTGTTTTCCCGGGCGTAGCTCTGTGCCCACCAGAAGCACAGCAGCTCACCGGTCACTCCAATGGGATACAGCACAATAAAGGTCGTGTAACGCAGGAAGACCACGAAATGGGGAACCACCTTGATGATGTTCAGTGCATAGTAGCCATAGCGGATAATCTCAGTGATGGCCCAAGCTAACAGGGCGATTGGCAGACCCGGAGAGACTTTGCCCGTGGGCGTGGCCATCACAACACCAACAACCACCATCATGCGGCTGAACACCTGGAACCCAGTGACCACTGGGTTTGACTTAACAAGGCCAAAGGACGCATTCAAGATCTCCACGAAGGCAGCGTTCTGGAAGATGATTACCGCCAGGCGTGTAAAGTCCCAGAGCGTAACCTGCGCCCGGAACTCAGGTGTCCTCAGGAGGTAGTAGTCCACCAGCTGCCACAGGATGTAGCTCCATCCGACCACCTGCCCGGCATTGTAGGCAAACAGATAGAGCTTGGTGAGCGTGGACGGCTCCTTGGAAGCGGGTTTGCTGGTCTTGACTGCCTTCGACGACATGGTGGAACTACGCGAACTTTCACCTCTGCGGTCGTTGCTGATTAACTAATCAATGTCGTTAAACTTATCGCTGACGGGAGATATTGTTTCGAGGTGGCTTTCACCTGTTCGTCAATGTGACCGTCGAGGCTCTGAGCCAAAATCCGAAAAGTATTTCGATTTGGTCACTCAACATCTTTACTCGGGGCGGTACTTTTGAGCCTCGTAATTACAATGCTACCTGTTAGACCTAAAAATTGCATAACAAGATAGTTTTTAAATTGTCAGGTACATAAGAAAACTTACACCTGTAAGTCAGAGGTTCATTGCAAATAAATAACACGTATTTTTAATTCCATTTCTTTGTGATATGATATCATAGAACTTTAATAAGGACCACTCATAGTAATCCACACCTCTATTGATTCAAATATATAATTAACAATTAAATAATTACTGATTTCAAACGAAACACAGCTTTAATTTAAGACTTAGTCATTGTTAAGGTAAATACAATTGAATGTTTAATTAAAGTGTATATATTTTATTTAATAAAGTTGACTGATGTAATATACACAACAATCTGATCAGGTTACAAAATATACATATACATGTACATGTAGATACATGTAGAAGATACATCTCATATGAGATACACGAATATACATATTCGAGATACTTTTTTCGTGTTTCACTCCACTGTACCATGGCAGCTGGCGTTTGTTAGCTTCCTCCGACCGGTTTGCGCAATGAACCGGAATACCAGCTACCAATTATGATCGCCTAGTAGAAACCGAACCGAAAACCGAACGTGTCTGAAAAAGTCCGCCACCACCACGGGGCCGGTGCACGTCCCCACCTGCAAGTGCGCGTGCTGGTGGGGCGATTCCGTTCCCCAGCCGGTCGTTGAGCGAGCGATTCGCTCTGGTTTTCTACGGTATTGTCGAATCCATTGTGAATCGCAATTGGAATTGGAACTTTTGTTCCGAATCGACGGCACGGCACGGCACGTGTTTGCTTGCCCGAGCTATGTGGGCGGAGGCCTGCAACCACGCCTACCGTGAATTAATTTGCTGCAAAGGCAAATTACCAAGTACTCCCCTAAAAGCCGACCAGCCGCTTCGGACGTAAAGCAATCCAGTTAGCCAGCCAGCAAGGGGGGCGGGCCGGGGGCACCTTATCAGCCGGCTGCCTTATCAGCAATCGTCGTGCGGACTCGTTGGACGGGCGGAGCGGCAATTTCAGACAGCAGCGCCCACAAAGGCCGATTGGACAAACCAGGAAAAACGAGACCCCGCCAAAAGTGAATTCCCTCTTTTTCAGCAGGCGAACAGAAATGTCAGCACAGCGAAATGGCGACGCATTCGAACGGCGTTGGAGAAGTGAGTGCCGGGTGCGCCGTTTACATGGGAGGGAGCGAGACGGATAGAGTGTCAAGGCAGCAGGGGTTTTTAACGTGACTGGTCGCCGGTGTGTGTGTGTGAGCGCTGGCGTGTACATGTGGGCTGGCAAAGAAATTCGCAAAGCTGACAAATTGCGGCAGTTTAAGGCCACAACTAGTGATTATTAAAAGTCTTTAAGTTGAGCAAACACCAGTATTCGCTCTTTCTCGCTCACTCGCTCGCTTGCTCTTTTTTTTGGCTAGCAAAAGAGGGAAAAAAGCCAAGAGAACTACCAAAGGGCAATAAAATCAAAGTGTGCTAAGTGTGGTGACTGGCCAACAGGTGGCGCCATCATAAAAAACCTCGAGGAAAAGCAACAAAATTCAAACTATGCTACACGCCCACAAATGCGGGCCCTGCGCACCACCGCCCCTTTTTCGACACCACCACCACCATGGCGTACTATGCAACAGAAAAATTAAATATTGTAAATAATAAACTAAGAAAAAAGGAGAAAACTTTGTTTGTTTGAACCGCAATTTCTAATGCAAACACACTCGCGCCCCTTGCAAGCAGCACTCGAACATTTTGCTCAATTTTGAGCAGTCATTTTGTTTGCTCACATCACAGGCCAACAGAAAACAGAAAATTGCCCGCAACGTCCCGCCAGTTCGTTCTACGAATATACCGCCGCCGCCATATAGCCATAGCCACAATGTACTGTACATACACACACTCGTAACTAATAGCACAATCCACCTGCTGCGACTGGGGCTAGAAACTGCATGATATCAGACCGACCGACCCCATGTATACCGCCATCGGCGGAAGTTGCGGGCGCCCACTCCGGCCGGACATTTTGTTTTGTGCCCGTCATTTTGCTTATTGCACAAAATTGTACTGGGCCACCAGCAAAATCCACAAAGTTCGCAACGTGATTTAAAAACTATCGCCTAATACCGTCGATTAACTAACTAACAGCGGAGGCAAGGACGCGGCGAGCAAAAACGTCCATTATTGTGGGCGTTCAACGTTTTCCCACATGCAACCTAACAGGCAACCAGCAGCCGGCGACAATGAGCTGCTCTGCTCCCCATTGCCACTGAATGAGCAATAAAATGAAAAAAAAACTGATAAAAATGAGCCCCAACTACTAGCGGGCCAAAGAAGAAGCAGCTGGATCGGTTGGGGAGGCAGGCAGCCCGGGGGCCGGAAACCAGTTTGCGTGCGTGTGTTGGCGTCGAGCCATGAGTCTTCCGTGGATGGCCGGCCAGTGAGTGGTCAGCTTTTGATGTTTGCCTTGGCTTTTTTTCCGGCAAGCAACCCTACTATTTTAATGAGAACCTGCTTAACAGGCGCAAATTAAATGGGGGGTACAACCTTTAATTAATTAAATAGGGAATTCGTTTTTATTTTAAAGAAAAAAATTAAAATACAAAAAAATAATACAAAATATATATTTGTAAATGTATTAATTAATTTATTGCATTAATTATTTGTGAACTAATTAATATTTGTATATTTTTTAAATAATTCTAATTAATATTTGTTTTTTTTTTTTATAATAATTCTAAGCATAAAAACACTGAATTCAGTGTATTCTCCATGCCATTCAGATATACCTACACACCAGATACATATGTATGTATCTAGATACATGATGTAGATACAGATACATGTAGACCCCATCGTCTCCTTGAACTCTATCCAGCTACAAAATGTGTTTCGAGTTCATGTCCTAATTTTACTTCAATCCCGATCATTTTGGCTCTGTGCCAAGCTTGAAGCATGGTGCGGGCCCCCTCCTCTTTAAACACCACCCTCGCCACCCAAAACTGGCGGGGCCATTACTCCCCTTTGGAGCCACTGGCCAGTAGACGGCAGACCACGCCCTGGTCGAGCACAAACAATGCTGTGTGTGCCAAGTGGGCAGGGGGCAGCCACAACGCTTCTGATTTGCGCCGCTGGTGGCAGTGACGCCAATGCCGGGGCGTCGTCCACTTGTTGCTCGGTTGTGCGCGCCTGTTCCCAAAACTGGATTTTGGGGCCTGACTGACCGCACTATCGAGTACCGGGACGGACAAGCGAGGCGTTGACACTTGCCAATGTACCAATCAACCATCGAACCGCGGCCGAGCAACCCACCGACCATGCCACTCCCACCCAATGCCCACGGTGGCGGGTGGTGGTTGCATTGACTGTGGTTAGTTACCGTTACGTTATGAGCGGGCCAATTAGCGAATAACCTTAACCTTAGCTTCCAAAAAAGCTCAAATCACAACCTGTGCTATGAGGCGCCCAAAAATGTCTAGCGCGTGGCCACTCAACGTTGGAGGAAAATCCCAACCCGCCACGCATCGAGTGAATATGAATATCTGCACCCCACCTAACCCCGCCTACCCCGATCCCCACTGGTTATCCAAAAACAGCGGGGAACTTGTTTCGGCGCATCTCAATGCCACTTCGAGATTGTACGAGCTGGTTATGTCATCGACATCGACATTCCCCATATACTACATACTTCCTACCCCCACCGCCATTCCAACAACCACCAAAAAGTTTGCCAAAATTCGCGCTGACCTACTGAGTGCCGAAAAAGTTGGCAAAATTCGCAAAAATCGCAAAATCCTTGAGTTTCAAGGTGCGTCCTTCACTTGGCAATGGGGCCGTGAAATTACGGTCAAGGCGCTTCCAACCAGTCGAAGGTTAGCGGAGAGCGAGAACGACAAGTCTGTGTGTCAGTAGAGGTCTCGTTCTAACATACCCTAAAAATCAGGGGTATATAAGATTGAAGGGGTATTATTTTATTTTGGGTTGTTTAAATTATAAAACTAACCTATTTGATTACGAAATAAATATAGTGGTCATTTTGGTTTCTTTACAAAAACATATGAATATGCTAAACCCACCACATTACCTAAACTCTTCTAAAGATTAAACAAAGTATGTATATAATAGGGTGTCTAAAATGAAATCATCCCCTAACAAAAATTTCAATATTTGCCTCGCAAAACGAAAATGAATTCCGCCTCGCAACAAAGGCAGAGCGAATCAACCTTTGTTGTTGGCTTTATTTTTGTTTTTGTTGCTTGTTTACCCGTATACATATGTATTTCGATGTTGTCGGTTGTGTTCTTGTCGTTATGTGTACGATATTTTCTGGCCTCCTAATGAAAATGTTGCTGTTTTTGTTTTTTGTTGTTGATATAATAAAACACCGTCGCCGCCTCCGTTCTGTTTGTTGTACAAACAGTCGGGGAGCAGCGAGAAACGCTGCCACAATAATAACAACAACAGAAATCAGTTGGAAATCGCGCGAGGCGACGCGACGCGTTTTCTGCCGTCGCTGTCAGTCGTGAAGGTGGGTCATTGTGAAATGACAGCGCCGAACCAACCAGGTGAGCAGAAAGTACAGCAAGCGGAAATACACATGCATATGTCTGTCTCAGCCAGAGCGAGACAGCCCCGATAGCCATGTTTGATTCAACAATAGTGTTGTCCCACTCGGCCCGCTATCCTCGATTGCTGTGAGCCGGTGCGTATTTTTGCGTCTGAAAGAAACAGGTCGAAGGCGGCTAAAGACCCGCGGAAACGGAGATTAATGTGAATGTGCTCTGCCAGGGCCCCGCCCGAGGCGAATGGCGAAATCCGCTTGCTTCTGCGATCTGGGTACCCGTACCTCGATGTCGGAAAATGTCGTGCAAGTGTTCGCTCGCACTTGCGTCAGAATGTGGAATGTTCACCGTGCTGTAAAATGCAAATGGCTGCAGTGTAAATGTCATGTAAATGATGGAACAAAGTCACCTTCCTGATATTGACGCGTTAAATAAAGAACCTGGAAGTATTTAGGTGTACCTTTGCTGTATAGTTTAATTAAATGTCTCTAGTTTCTCTAACAAAACTATGAATTTATTTGTTTTTGATCATACTCTGACTATATTCAAGTACTTATGACTTTTGACCGCGCTTTCGGTCCGATAGTAAGTACGACTTGATGTAAAAGTTGCTAAACAATACCAAAAAGGACAATGTTAAACAGCCTGAAACATACACCACGGGTCGCGGGACATTGCAATTGGGCTGCGATAATGTGTAGGCTATGATGGATAGTATAATTCCGAACTGTACCATCTGGGCCATGGTGATGTACTTCTTCCACCAAAGACTCGACTGCACCGCCTTGCTGACGGAGGACAGATAGTAGTAGGTGTACATCAGCACATGAACGGCCACGTTCAAGACGCAATAAAGGATAACGGCAGCAAATCCTTGGAGCCTTATGAACAAATATACCACCAACGGCATGCTGACGTGATGGAAGACATGCAGGACAGATATCTGTCTGTTCTTCTTCCGCAGAACAAAGAATATAGTTTCCGTCAGGTCGGCAAACTTGTTGACCAAGTACAGGGTGCCGAAGTAGCTCTCCCGGTGCTTGTGTTCATGGTCCAGAGGAAGACTCGTCATGCATCCCAAATCATACAGCCTCAAAAAGAACAAAAAGTGTATGGCCTGCAAAAATTATGATTATATCTTAAACAAGAAAGCAAAGCTAACTTCGGGCGGAGCCGAAGTTTATATACCCTTGCAGCTATAACCGGATATATATCGCAAACATCGGATATAGTTGGCCGATCCTTATGATTACATCATAATAAAACCAATTAATTACAATAAAGAATCTAAAAAAAAGTCCCAAGCTTCTATCTTCAAAAATTCGAAAGTTGATATTTCTACCAAATACCATTTCCGATCGTTCAGTTATATGTCAGCTATAAGATATAGTCAACCGATCGTTATGAAATTTGGTAGATCGGATTGACTGACCAAAAATAGAATGTGTACCAAGTGCCAGCTTTCTATCTTCAAAAACACGAATGTTGGGTCATTTCCGATCGTTCAGTTATATGGCAGCTATAGGATATAGTCGGCCGATCCTAATGAAATTTTGTAGGTCGGATTAACTGGCCAAAAATATAATCTGTACCAAGTTCCAGCTTTCTATCTTCAAAAACACGAAAGTTGGGTCATTTCCGATCGTTCAGTTATATGGCAGCTATAAGATATAGTCGGCCGATCCTTATGAAATTTGGCATGTCGTATTATTTTGCCAAAAATAGCTCTCATGTCAAATTTGAACTCTCTAACTCTAAAAACACCAAAGTTATACCATTTCCGATCAATCAGTTATATGGCAGCTATAGGATATAGTCGGCCGATCCCGGCCGTTCCGACTTATATACTGCGTGCAAAGGAAAGAAGGGTGTGTGCAAAGTTTCAAGACGATAGCTTTAAAACTGAGAGACTAGTTTGCGTAGAAACAGACAGACGGACAGACGGACAGACGGACAGACGGACAGACGGACAGACGGACAGACGGACATGCTCATATCAACTCAGGAGGTGATCCTGATCAAGAATATATATACTTTATAGGGTCGGAGATGTCTCCTTCACTGCGTTGCACACTTTTGGACAAAATTATAATACCCTCTGCAAGGGTATAAAAATAGGACTCCTTGTAAGGTGGCCAACTCACGTAGACGAGCATCCAAACGTTGTATATTATCTGAAAGATATTATAGCCCTTGATAATGGTTCGCAGATCAAATGGCGTTCGATTCTGCATAAACTTTGGTCCCACTTTCAGGACGAAGAGCAAATAGCCCAAAAGTACTATAATCACAGGATCCGCCGGAGAAAGCATATTGCATTCGGTTATGTCACTTTTAGGAATGGCCAGCAACTGTCGGCAAACCTAATAAGTGAATTGGATACATTTGAAATTCAATAACCTTGTAAATTATTCTATTAGAATACATTAAATGCAAATAAACTTTCATCAAGTGACGCAGTTCATAAATGCATAAGAGAACAGCAGAAACTTGACCAAAAGTTAGCTTTTATATAGGTTTTCTAGGCCTAGAATAAATAAATATTCACATAAATCTAGAGCTTCCTATATCATTAATATATAACCGTAAAATAAAAACGCATTAATTCTTAGTTTGGAAAACCGGAAGTAACCTAAGTTTTGATTGCTATTTTAATTATAATGTATAGAATGGTATACATTTAAATGTTTTCTAAGGAGAGACATTTCTTTTATCACATAGTTGGGTTATTGAATTTTATTTAATTATCCAAATATTCTATTTAATGTGATTTATTTTTTGAAATACTTAAAAAACTACTGCCGACGCTTCCGGTCGGAAAGTATGTAAGCTCTGACATAAAAGTTTCCAAACAATACGAAAAGGGACAATGACAAAACTCCACAAATATAGGCTTGAAATCTCGGGACCTTACAGTTGGGCTGCGATAAAGTGTAGGTGTTAAGAGCTAGAACTATCCCGAATTGTACCATCTGGGCGATTGTAATGTACTTCTTCCACCAGAGGCTCTGTTGCGCCGCCTTGCTTACGGTGGATAGGTAGTAGTAGGTGTACATCAGGATGTGGACGATAATGTTAAGCAAAGCGTAGGCGGTGGCGACCCCCCCATATCCGTGGAGTGTTGTAAAGAGAAAAACCACAAGGGGCATGCTGGCGTGGTGGAAGAGGTGAAGGACAGATATTTGTCTGTCTTTCTTGCGCAGGACGAAGAATATCGTTTCCACCAAGTCGACGAATTTGTTAATCAAATAAAGGTTACTGTAGTAACGCTCAGCGTCCTTGTGCTCGTGGTCCAGAGGTAGAGTTGTCATGCATCCCAAATCATAAGCTTTCAAAACGAACAGAAAGTTAACAAACTAAAAAGTGCATACCAATTAGTAATAATGCATCCTCATTCAAGAATAATCCTCTTTATATTACTCACGTGTACAAGCATCCAAATATTGTAAATAATTTGGAATATATTGTAGACCTTTATAACGCGCCGTAGATCAAAGGGCTCCCGGTTTTTCATGAGTCTTGGACCCACCTTCAGGACGAAGAGCAGATAGCTCAATAGAGTAATTAAAGTAGGCCATGGGCTACTAAATATTGACAGTGTGGCAGGATCCACCGGGGAGAGCATTGGTAATATCTGTTTTGGATTTAACGAGCAACTGGTCTTGAGGTCTTGATAAGCTAGCTGATACCAATAGACATTTCGCGGAAATGAAAACGCTTCCATTTGTATGCATGAATTTAAATGCAGGTAAATCAACATACTGCACAAATGCACTCTTACGAAATAGTTTTTATACTTGCAGAGGGTTTTATAATTTTGGTCAAAAGTGTGCAACGCAGTGAAGGAGACATCTCCGACCCTATAAAGTATATATATTCTTGATCAGGATCACTTCCTGAGTTGATATGAGCATGTCCGTCTGTCTGTTTCTCGTCTTGAAACTCTGCACACACCCTTCTTTCCTTTGCACGCAGTATATATTGGTCGGAAATGGTATAACTTTGATGTTTTTGAAGTTAGAAAAGTTACAAATTTTAAAAGTTTTGAAGTTACAAATTTTACAAGAGAACTATTTTGGGCAAAATAATACGGCATGTAAAATTTCATAAGGATCGGTCGACTATATTTTATAGCTGCCATATAACTGAACGATCGGAAATGGTTTTTGGTAGAAATACCAACTTTTGTATTTTTGAAGATAGAAAATTGGAATTTTTTTTTAGATTTTGTATTATAATAAATTGGGTTATACTATCATATTCTCATAAAGATCGGCCAACTATATCCGATGTTTGCGATATATATCCGGTTTAAACTGCAAGGGTATATCAACTTCGTCTCCGCCCGAAGTTAGCTTTCCTTTCGTGTTAAGAATTAGATTTTCTATAATTAAATTAATCCAAAATTGATGGAATAAGATTTTCAAGTAGATAGCCTATTAGAATAGAAAGGCTGCGACTTTTTAAACTAGACCTTTGTGTTGAACTTGATTTTGAAAATAGAAATGGAAAAATATGCAAATGAGACGACTTGTTTCACTTGAAACATAAAAAAACATCGTAATTTTAGATATAACCATTCTTTTAAAGACTAAAAAGTAACATAACACTACTAATCCCCTTTTTTAAATATGTATATTTGCTTTCAAAAGAAACTTAAATATATTTTCACAACCATATAGTTCGATTGGCTAATCACGACGTTTGCGATCGGCAAGCACATAAGTTCTGACGTAAAAGTTAGTGAACAACATCAGGAAGGAGAAATTTAGTATTCCAGACAAATATGACGTCACCTTGGGGACAGTGCAGTCGGGCTGGGATAACGAGTAGGTGATACAGGCTAGAATGATGGCAAATTGCACCATTTGGGAGATTGTGATGTACTTCTTCCACCACAGGCTCTTCTGCACAGATTCGCTTACAGACGACAGATAGTAGTAGGTGTACATTAGCACGTGTACCATAACGTTCATTAGGCAATAAGACGTAGCTATGCCACCGTAGCCATTATATATGATACCAATATATATAGCAAAGGGCATGCTAACGTGATGGAAGACATGGAGTACGGATATCTGCCGGTCCTTCTTCCGTAGAATGAAAAATACCGTTTCCACCAAGTCGATGAATTTGTTAATCAAATATAGGTTACTAAAGTACCGCTCTCTATCCTTGTGCTCGTGGTCCAGTGGAAGGGTATTCATGCAGCCCAAGTCGTAGGCCCTCAAGACAAACAAAAAGTGAATTGTCTAAAAAAATAACCAATTAAAAAAATATATCTTTTTCATATTCGGGTGTCAACTCACGTATAAAAACATCCAACTGTTGTAGACGATTTGAAATATATTGTAGACCTTAATTACTCCACGAAGATCAAAGGGCTCACGATTCTTCATGAGCTTGGGTCCCACTTTTAGGACGAAGAGCAGATAGCTCGATAGAATAATTAAAGTAGGCCATGGGCTACTAAATATTGGCAGTATGACAGGATCCACCGGGGAGAGCATTGGTAATATCTGTTGTGGATTTTACGAGCAACTGGTCTTGAGGTCTTGATAAGCTAGTTGATACTATTAGATATTTCGCGGAAATGAAAACGTTTCCATTTGTATGCATATGTGAAAATGCAATAAAATCAATATACAAATCAATTAAATCACAAATGCAATCCTACGCCATAGTTTCTTAGAAGTCACCTTTATGAATTAAATAGACTTCAATTAACCCAAAATTAATGGAATAAACGATTAAATTCGTTACAAGTAGATAGTCCATTAGAATAGAATGGCCGTGACTTTTAAGACGAAACCTTTGACTTAGAACTTGATTTTGAAAATAGAAATGGAAAAATATGCAAATGAGACGACTTGTTTCACTTGAAGCATAAAAAAACATCGGAATTTTAGATATAACCATTCTTTTAAAGACTAAAAAGTAACATAACACTACTTATCCCCTGTTTTAAATATGTATATTTGCTTCAAAAAGAAACTTAAATATATTTTTACAACCATACAGTTCGATTGGCTAATCACGACGTTTGCGGTCGGCAAGCACATAGGTTCTCACGTAAAAGTTAGTGAACAACATCAGGAAGGAGAAAGCTAGTATTCCAGACAAGTATGACGTCACCTTGGGGACAGTGCAGTCGGGCTGGGATAACGAGTAAGTGATACAGGCTAGAATGATGGCGAATTGCACCATTTGGGAGATTGTGATGTACTTTTTCCACCACAGGCTCTTCTGCACAGATTCGCTTACAGACGAAAGATAGTAGTAGGTGTACATTAACACGTGTACCATAACGTTCATTAGGCAATAAGACGTAGCTATGCCACCGTAGCCATTATATATGATACCAATATATACAGCAAAGGGCATGCTAACGTGATGGAAGACATGCAGTACGGATATCTGCCGGTCCTTCTTCCGCAGAATGAAAAATACCGTTTCCACCAAGTCGATGAACTTGTTAATCAAATATAGGTTACTAAAGTACCGCTCTCTATCCTTGTGCTCGTGGTCCAGTGGAAGAGTATTCATACAGCCCAAGTCGTAGGCCCTCAAGACAAACAAAAAGTGAATTGTCTAAAAAAATAACCAATTAAAAAAGTATATCTTTTTCATATTTGCGTTTCAACTCACGTATAAAAACATCCAACTGTTGTAGACGATTTGAAATATATTGTAGACCTTAATTACTCCACGCAGATCAAAGGGCTCACGATTCTTCATGAGCTTGGGGCCCACTTTTAGGACGAAGAGCAGATAGCTCGATAGAATAATTAAAGTGGGCCATGGGCTACTAAATATTGGTAGCAAAACTGGATCCACCGGGGAGAACATGTTGGAATAGGTTTTGTTTGTTGGAGAAATGGCGAGCTACTGCTTGGATAACTTTGTAAGGAACGAATTGCATTGTAAATGTAATTCAAATTTAATCTATTCCGTTTAAAATGCATTAGTATTAAACACTGTGTGTGTGCGGAAGATAAACGTCCTATGCCCCCCGAATAGGGCTCTGCCGACCACTGATTTAAATACCTCATGCATATGGAAGCCCATTTGAACAGAAACGCACAAGTCGATATTGATTAAGTTTGATGTTTTTATCACTAAAGTGTAGGAATAAGGAAGTACAAATTTTAAAAATAGATACACAACTCTAAGCTCATTTTTTCCGGAGCACGTTACATCCATCAGAACAACTGATATGAACTATTGTATAGACTGCGCCCATATCAGTCTTTTGGCTGACATCGGCATTGGTAATGTGAGAAGCTCGAAAATGTCTTAAGAAGCGGATAAGACGTGGGGATTATCCTCCTGAGGTATGCACACGCACCCCGCGATGACACTGGCACCTCCTAATCCCTTTTAATTAGATTCTTTGGCCCGACTATAAAAGCATCTTGACAGCAATTGCCCCAGGTCAGCCTTAGACAAGGCGAGTCTTCGGAAAACATGTCTCGTTCCATGGGAAACTAATTCGTGAAGTGGCTTCAGCAGGATGCACCTCAACGGACCCACTGGGCCCCAGGCTCTCGTAAACAGTAGTTCTGGCGATGGAGGGGTTTTTCCTATGGGACATGGCTATCCTGCGGAATACCAGCATATGATCCATGCTCATTGGCGCGGATTTCGGGAGGCGCCAATATATTATCATGCCGGTTTTTATATAGCCTATGTGGTTCTTATGTTGTCGAATATATTTGGAAATGGATTGGTCATCTGGATTTTTTCAACGTAAGCTTAATATTATTTATTAATTCACTTATAAAGTCACCCAAACATGTAACGTATTTTTCAGCTCCAAGTCCCTCCGAACTCCGTCCAATTTACTGATCCTGAACCTAGCCATCTTCGACCTGTTCATGTGCAGCAATATGCCACATTATTTGCTAAACGCTACTGTTGGTTATATCGTGGGAGGGGATCTCGGATGCGATATTTACGCTTTAAACGGAGGCATCTCTGGAATGGGAGCTTCAATAACAAATGCCTTCATAGCCTTCGATCGGTACAAGACCATATCGAATCCCATTGACGGGCGGCTGAGTTACGGCCAGATTGTCCTGCTCATCATATTCACATGGTTGTGGGCTACCCCATTTTCGGTGCTGCCTTTGTTCCAAATCTGGGGACGTTATCAGCCTGGTAAGTAGTGACTATTGAGTTAGCTTGGTGTGCTTGTGGGTTCAAGCATACTTTTAGGCTCATGAGTGCATAACTGCATTTTTGCAACTTCCTAGAATATCCTTTTTTGTGAACATGGCTTTATTTTTTCAATTATAGAGGGATATCTAACCACATGCACCTTTGACTACCTAACGAACACGGATGAGAATCGCCTCTTCGTGCGCACGATCTTCGTCTGGTCCTACGTTATCCCTATGTCCACGATCCTGGTTTCCTACTACAAACTCTTCACCCATGTCCGCACTCACGAACAAATGCTGGCGGAGCAGGCCAAAAAGATGAACGTCAAATCCCTTTCGGCCAATTCCAATGCGGACAGCATGAGCGTAGAGCTCCGGATCGCCAAGGCTGCTCTTATCATTTACATGCTGTTTATTTTGGCCTGGACGCCGTACTCCGTGGTGGCTCTAATCGGATGCTTTGGCGAACAACAGCTTATCACGCCCTTCGTTTCCATGCTGCCGTGTCTGGCCTGCAAGTCGGTGTCCTGCCTGGATCCTTGGGTGTATGCCACCAGTCATCCAAAGTACCGCCTGGAACTGGAGCGGCGTCTTCCTTGGCTAGGTATCCGTGAGAAACAAGCCACCTCGGGTTCATCCGGGGGGCAGGAGAGTGTGGCTAGCGTCAGCGGGGATACTTTGGCGCTGAGTGTCCAAAATTAGAAAAATTACAAAAAAATTTACGGTTGAAAATATGGCTTGAACATGTTATACGAGTTGATTAATTTTAAGATGCAATGAACTTTAAGAGTTCCAAAAAATACAAACCAAAAAAAGTTGGCATTGAAAAAGAATATTTAAAATTTTTATATCTAATTTGGTTTATAAAGGTTTATCTTAACGGTCTTTTAAAGATCTTATAAAATGTACATACATATATGTTTCGTCAACTTTTCCTCTTCCAACAGAGGAAATCTGATTTCTCCGGATGCAACCGTTGCAACATGCACATTTCAAGAGGAGTTCAGACAACATCCTGTCTGCTGTTGCACACGCATTCTCCACTTATCTCCACTGTAAACCACGTCCACTCCAACGTCCTATCTATGTACCTGTCTACACATTTAAAGCGCAATCGCACGAAACAAATTCAAAAACAGCAATGGCAGGGTGGCCTGGCGGTGGCGGTGTCTGTCAGGGGACGGGGTCCAACCACCGATGAGGTTGAAGAAGTTGTGCTTCTTTGTTGCTTGCGCACATCCAACCAATCCGTGGCCGAAAGTGGCGTTTCAATTCAGCGAATGTTCCACACGACACCAGGCGAACAGGAGCCATAGCACCGGTTTACAACATTTGCACGCGGGCGTTGAAAGTGTGATTGGCTGTCGCTCTGCCTGAGTGTGGCCAGCGAGTGGAGCACCCAGTGAGGTGGGGGTAGGGGGAGGAAAGCGCCCGCTGGTGATGGGACACCGAATCGGGAGCGAGGAGCGTAGCAACAATGTTGCAATTGTGCCCTCACCACCCGGGGGGGAAGACTAGACCAAGTGGGCATGTGTGTGAGCGAGCGATTCGCTGGCTGGGGCTTCTTCTTGCTCTTTAAGAAACAACAAACATTTTTACTAGGTCTCCATGAGATTTAGCAGCATGCTGGTGGGCCGCAAGCGATTAGATTTTCAATGGAAACTCAATAGAAACGGTGTTAGAAGCCATTGGCCGCAGGTGCGACAAAGATGAGTATACTGGGGCCGGGCGGGATTAGAGAGATAGACAGATGCGATGGGGCTCATTCAGCCTCACCATTTATTTAGGCTTTGTGGCTACGGGCAACACCAACACCAACACCACCCAACCCATCTTATTCTCCGGATAATCCAATTTGCCCACTGAACTGAAGTGGCGTCGCCTGCAGCGATTCGGATTCGGATTCGTTTGTTTCCCACCCGGCGGGAGGATTGTGTGTCGTTTTCGACATTCCTCTTATTGTGTGCCGACGACTTGTTGCATGTAATAATAATAATAACGAACGAAACGGTATCTCGTAGCTGTTTAGTGGATGATTAAACTGAATTTAATCGTTTGCGAACAGGCGCTCAGCGGAGCGGGGCTCGTCGTCGGGCCATTATTTTCGTTGCTATGTATCTTGTGCTGAAATCCATACGAGTTTAAATTGCCAGCAGAACGGGCAGGGCAGTCGTGTGTACATACAATCACTATAGCCATCCCGCTCACACACTCGTTTTTCTGGCTTACATCCCTGTTGTCAATTTGCAGCAGAGAATTGTTCTGAAAGATACATTATCTTTAAATTGAAATATTTTGTTGTCTAATCATATTTACTTGTTAATAGAATAGAAATTTTAATAATTTTTTTGTATTTCAATGGGAGTTTAGAAACATTTTCTGAAGACTGCAACTCAAATCAATTTTTGAAATAAATATGTATGTCTATAAAGTTTTTTAATTGATCTTTTAACGGTTTTAAAATTTAAAGATAGTTTGAAAATAGTTTAAAGGTTAAGATCGTAATGTATTAATATTAAAGAGACTGATTTTCTTGGTTATAAAGGTCTGTCTCTTATCAGGTTTCTGCCAATTTCCCACCAGGTACGGAGGGCGCCACTTCTGATACGGACATCCCACTCGCTCCCGCAGTGACAAGGCCGTCTCAAACAGTTTGCCATCACTGTCTCTTGGCATTAATCGTCTTTCTATGAATTTGGCAATCCTAATAATGCCAATTCGTGGGGTGGGCGCCTGTTAACTAGCAGCAGGCTTACAGCATTACCATGTCGGAAATCAATAAAAGATGTTGACGAAAAGTCAGCCCAGCACCCGCTTCCGATGGTGGGGGTGGGGATTCCGCCTCTGCTGCAATTTCCTGCCAGTGCTGGGCCTCTGTTAACATTTGAACGTTAAAAATTCGATTTTATAGAATTCCAGCAACGCCCACCGACAGGGAGGCACAACGAAGGCCACAACGACAGTAAAAAAAGCACTGTTTGTCTGCTAATTATACAAACAAGCTGAGGTCGCAGTGATGTTGCTGCTGCCGCTTTCGTTTCGGCCTGGCTACGCGTTCTGCGCGCCTCTTAGTTATTATGTCAGATCTGCAATGTGCGACTATAAAATACGTATGCGGCCGCCGAGAATTTATTGACTCGTCGCCCCGGGCCGGGGGTGTGAGTTATAAAATTGATGGTATAAACTGTCTTGAATTTATAAATCCGTCCGTACTTTTCTCGGGCCGCCCTGCTTTGCACCGACCGTTCTCTTCCTGGGCGCCTAATGCGTTTTTTCGAGTGTATGGTAACATTTGTATTCATATTATGCTCGCTTCCACCGCCCGATATTTGGGGATGACTTTCCGGGTTCGTCATGGCGACGGTTGCGCCACTTCTTCGCGCCTGTTGAAATTTTTCGATTGTATGTTGGTAACATTTTGTGGTCCCAAAATGTTTGACGCTCGCTCACAGCTCTGGCAACGCTTCTCTCTCCATCTCGTACGAATTCCGAGTGGCATTCCCGACCGCATATTTCAAATCTCAAAGTGTCGAGCGGCATTCCGTGCAGGCATTGAGCGGCGGAGGAGAGGGTTGTCAGAGCACCGGACGGGGCGAAAAGCAACAAGTGGCTGCCGGATGAATGGCCGCCTGACAACCCTGGTCGAGCGTTCCACGGACGGGTGGCATTCCAAGCATAACAATGCCGTCTGCTTTTTACGCTGCTTGCCTGTTCGGGCAACTGTGTGAAATTTCATGCAACGCGCTTCTCGCAAATTTCGAATTCCCCGCATATTTCTGTGGCGTGCCACTGGCCTTTGTGTGTTCCTCTCACGGTATGTGTATTCCTCTTTACCCGCTTCCTTGGGCGTCGGAGAGAGACATCGTGATTGGTAGGGTGGTTGACTTAATGGCGATAATACGAAAGCCCAGTCCATATAGTCCGCCCGCGGAAGGGGGTGTTAGTAAGGTGATAAGAACTTTATCAACAAGAGTTTTTGAACATTTATGGTCGAACTTTGTTTTAGGCGAATCATGCTTCGACAAAATCAATTTTAGACAAAATATAACTGATAAATGTTAAGACTCATCCCCAATTGGACTCATTGGAAATTTATTAATTATAAATTAATTATATTTAAATTGTAAAACTATTTAATTTCTAACTGAAGCTTTCTTTGTTAATTGTTAAATAATTGTTCACATTATATTAAAATTTGTTAAATTTATTATATTTTTATGTGCCGAAAACATATATCACAGACATATACATACATAAATAATATATATTTATAAAAAATTTAAAAAAGTTTTAAAAATTAAAATTTTTTGCGATAGGCCCAAATAGAATCTTACTCTCTTTCTTACGCTCATATTAAATATTTATTTATTTATTGGATTATTATTTATATACAACTTTTTATTAATTCAGCATATATTTTATATTTGCTTAGGAATACGATTAAGAGGCTGATGTAGCATGTTTTGCATAAATATAATATATGTTTGCAAATGTGTAAATATTAATTTTCGGTAACGTTGTTTTTCATGGTTTGCTGTATGAAATAAGTAGTATTAGAAGACCATATGTTGCATGGTTAGTGGTTATAGAATTAGAATAATCGAATGTTATATTTTCTTGTCTTTTGAATAAACCCCTGCGTGGGAGCTTGAAAAACTGGTAAAATTATTAATATATTATTATTATTGTTATTTTATATCTGTTACAAAACACTTTTGTTTTTAAAAATTATTTTTCTTGATTATAACGGCACGGGGGTTAGGAAGGAGCGCATCGCTGGTCGCAAAGCTCTCTGATGGCTCCTAGTCGTGAAACCTTATAATATGCTACGATGCTCCAGGTCATCGGTGTTTTCCCACCTCTAATGTGTTCCCACCATCTTTATCGATAGTGAACACCCTGTAGCTGTTCATAAAAGCCCTGGCGTCACTCCAGTGGAGTGCGTGAAAGGCTACGGTTGCACGGGCGCAAATTTTGTTTTCCTAGTTGGACAATCCAATTTATAGTTGATATTTTGGGTATTCCGATGTTGGGTGTGGTCACTCAAGTGGAGTGCGTGGAAGGCTACGGTTGTACGGGCTTGGCGCTTTTTGGACAACCCAATTTATAGTTGATATTTGGCGTATTCTGATTTTGGTGTTCCCGTTGTGTTTGCACTACCACCCTTGATATGGGTGTTTATGATATGTTTATGTTTATGTTTTTTTGTTTATGGCAAATGAGGATATTCTCCTCACAATTCTTCTTTGATCGAAATATTTTAAAACGCCAATGGAATCGATCGCGTCGTGGATCGAGTATATAAGGAAATGAGGATATCCACCTCAAAATTCTTCTTTGAACGAAATATTCCAAAACACCAATGGCATGGACGGGCATGGATCGATTTCCCGCGTGATGCTCACATAGGGGCCCAGGGAGATGGGGTGTTTTTTTTTGTTTATGGCAAATGAGGATATTCTCCTCACAATTCTTCTTTGATCGAAATATTTTAAAACATCAATGGAATCGATCGCGTCGTGGATCGAGTATATAAGGAAATGAGGATATCCACCTCACAATTCTTCTTTGAACGAAATATTCTAAAACACCAATGGCATGGACGGGCATGGATCGATTTCCCGCGTGATGCTCTCAATGCTGTGAGAAGCGTGTTGTTTTTTTGCTGAGAAGGCACCACTCGCAGTGGTGCACCTTAGCCTCTTTTAAACAGCCGAGGAAGTGGCGATTAAGGGCAAAGAGTGCGTGGAAGGCTACGGTTGTACGGGCGCTACATTTTTTGGCGCAATCCAATTTATTTGGACAATCCAATTTATTATTGATATTTTAGGTATTCTGATGTTTGGTTCAATAAGTTCTTTACAATCGCGGTTGCCACTTTAAAATTTATAAAGAGCCCAAAAAAGACTGAGCCAATTTTATTAAAAAAAGCCAAATTTTAATTTATTAATTTTGACTTTTTTTTTATCCAAAAAAAAATTTAAGACACTAAAAAAAAATTTACCGTTAAAATTTTATCATTACAAATTAAAAAAAAAAAAAACATGGTGGTGATGTTGGTTGTGTGGGTGGTGGGGTGAAAAATACTGGTGCTGTTGGTGGTGGTGCTGTTGGTTGTGTTGCTATTGGTTGTGTTGCTGGTCGTTTTGGTGCTATTGTTTGTAGTGCTGTTGGTTGTGGTGCTGGTCGTTTTGGTGGTGCTGGTGCTATTGTTTGTGGTGCTGGGAGTTGTGTTGCTGGGGGTTGTGCTGGTGCTGTTGTTTGTGTTGCTATTGGTTGTGTTGCTGGTCGTTTTGGTGCTATTGTTTGTAGTGCTGTTGGTTGTGGTGCTGGTCGTTTTGGTGGTGCTGGTGCTATTGTTTGTGGTGCTGGGAGTTGTGTTGCTGGGGGTTGTGTTGCTGGTGGGGTGAAATATAGTGGTGCTATTGTTTGTGGTGCTGGTGCTGTTGTTTGTGTTGCTATTGGTTGTGTTGCTAGTGGGGTGAAATATAGTGTTGGTTGTGTTGCTAGTGGTTGTGGTGCTGGTGGTGCTGGTTGTGGTAGGGGATGTGGTGCTGGTGGTGCTGGTTGTGGTAGGGGATGTGGTGGTGGTGCTGTTGTTTCTTGGTTTATTGGTTGTGTTCCTGGGTAGTTAATGGTGGTGTTGTAAACCTACGAACATAAGAAAAAAAATATACATCTTTCGGCCACTTTTGATGAAAACTGTAATGGGGCCGTCCATATATTGCGTGACGCGCCTGGGGGGGGGAGGGGTCCGGGTTAACGTCACGGTTTGTGGTCACGGGGGTCTAACCTCGTGTCATGGTTTGTCACGCAGGGGGGGGAGGGGGTCAAAAAAGTCTGAAATTCGCGTCACGCAATATATGGACGGCCCCAATACCCCAGCAAGGGTATTAAATACTTCAGTACTTACCGTACAATTATAATTATAATTATTAAACATTGTCTCTTTTTAAATATTTTTAAATATTTTACGCCTGTTTGTTGACACTCGCTTTTTGTTTAGAATAATTGGCAACGCTTCAAAATATGGCGTCCCATATTTCTCCCATCCCTATCACCACATGTTTTTTGCACTGTTTATTTCATCATGGAATATTGGAAGGAATTACAAATTATAACAGATTTAAAACTTCCAGAATCATTTCTGGAATTTTTAAAAAATCGAAAAGTAACTCTCCAAAATGGATTTTCCATTTTTTCCAGCAATTTGCGATTCCTATTGGTTGAAGAACCATATTTATTTTTTTATTGTATTATTATTTATATACAACTTCTTATTGATTCAGCATATATTTTTTATTTGTTTAGGAATACAATTAAGAGGCGAGTGTGTAAATATTAATATACGGTAACGTTGCTCTTTATGGTTTGCGTCCATTTTGTTGTATGAAATAAGTAGTACTAGAAGACCATATGTTGCATGGTTAGTGGCTATAGTTTATAGTTTGAAAAATCGTATATTATATTTTCTTATGTATTTTTTGAAAAAATTGTTTGAAACAAATTTTATTGAAAGAAAAAAATGTTTTTTTTTTATTTCTGTTACAAAACACTTTCGTTTTTTAAAATTATTTTTCTTGATTATAACGGCACGGGGGTTAGGAAGGAGCGCATTGCTGGTCGCAAAGCTCTCTGATGGCTCCTAGGCGTGAAACCTTATAATATGCTACGATGCTCCAGGTCATCGGTGTTTTCCCACCTCTAATGTGCTCCCACCATCTTTATCGATAGTGAACACCCTGTAGCTGTTCATAAAAGCCCTAGCGTCACTCCAGTGGAGTGCGTGGCTACGGTTGTACGGGCGCAAATTTTGTTTTCCTAGTTGGACAATCCAATTTATAGTTGATAGATGCCTATGGCGTGAAAATGCGTGGCCAGAATGGTACACCAAAGACCTCAACTGCCACGCGAAACACCACCACAACCGAGGAGGACGTCAATGGCGGATGCAGCTCTGCCTGTGCTGGAGTCGGATGAGGAAATCATCAACACCAAGTTTGAGGTTTCCAAAATGCAATAAGCTGTGACTTTCGCTGGACCCAAGAGACTATGCATATTGGTTGGACACTTTCCACTTCCTGAATAATCAAAAATGTTAATAACAAGGAAACAAATTTTGGAAAAATATTCTATTTATTTACAATTACTAAAAATAAATAAAATATAAATTAAATTGTATTACTAAAACAAATTTATGAAAAATATTATCCTATATATTTACAATTAATTACTAAAAATACTAAAAATAAATTAAATATAAATTAAATTCTATTATTAAAACTATTACTATTCTAAATTAAATCTAATTAAAATTGGGATGGAAATAGTAACTATTAGGAGTAGGAGGATTGGGAGGAGGATTGGGGAGAGGATTGGGGGGATTAATGGGGGGACGATTAATTAGCCCATCCCACCGGGCCCACAACTCCCTCATCCTGGGGCCGGGCACGTAAGGGACACCCACCACCCACCCTGCCTTTGCACTTAAATTTTAAATGCATTGTGAAGTTCGATTTGTCTTTCGTATATGGGCACCACGGGCAGTGGAACCCCTTCCCCTCTTGGAGGCACCGCTCAAAATGTGTGTTTAATGCCCTGACGCTCCTGAAGTTCCCGTAACAATAGGGGCATTGTTTCTCCAAAGTTGTCCAGATGCCCCCGGGCCCGTCGATGTGCCAGGTCGGCATGGCGGCATTTCTCAGTTGAAGAGTAAGTTCCCTAGCGGGCACTAGCATCATCACTGGCGGGCTCGGGGGCGGGGGCGGCGTCGCAGGTTGCGTGGGCGGGGGCGTCATCACTGCCGGGGGCCGGGGCGGCGTCACTGGCCGGGGCGGGGGGCGGCGTCGCAGGTTGCGTGGGCGGGGGCGTCATCACTGGCGGGGGCGTCGTCACTGCCGGGGGCGGGGGCGGGGGCGCCATCCCTTGCGAGGGCGGGGGCGTCATCACTGGCCGGGGCCGGGGCACCATCCCTTGCGGGGGCCGGGGCCGGGGCGCCATCCCTTGCGGGGGCCGGGGCCGGGGCGCCATCCCTTGCGGGGGCCGGGGCGCCATCCCTTGCGGGGGCCGGGGCGCCATCCCTTGCGGGGGCCGGGGGCGGGGCGCCATCCGTTGCTGTGGCCGGGGCCGGGGGCGGGGCGCCATCCCTTGCGGGGGCCGAGGCCGGGGCGCCATCCCTTGCGGGGGTGGGGGCACTGCCTCATTGTAAAAATTCATATTCTGCAAAAAAAGATTGTTAAATTATTTAATAAACTAATAATAATACTAATAAACTAATACTTACACCATAATTATAAAATCTAAACATTGTATTTAAAAGAAGAAGTGCTCTTTTATTTAAACGCAAATTTAAAGTGCTCTGTCAAATGTGTCAAACTTGCACTTTTAATGCAAGTTTTTTTTTAGGATATGTTATCTGATTTCAATTTACATCGATACATCGATACTCGCAATCGATGAATCGATACTTGCAATTTTGATTTTCTTTTCATTTGGTTAATACTAATTTTATGAAAATTCAAATGATTAATCTTAAATATAAGCAAGTAAATACATACACTTAAATATTCTTGTTATAAACACTGATTTTCTGGCAAAAAACTAAAAAAAAACAGTTAAATTACTTACTAAAATACTTATGAAATACTTACACTAAACTTTATTATTTTAATCATGTTGATTTTTTAATTCACTTTTCAATTTAATTCACTTTTTAATTTTATTTAATTTAATTACTTACTCAATACTCGATACGATACTTGCAATCGATACTTGCGATACTTTCAAATTCGCATGCGCGTTGGAGGATCTAATATCGCGTTCCGAAACTCAACAAAAGTGAAAGTGAATCGCGAACGCGACAAAATTGCATAGTCTCACAGCTTCATATAGCTTCGAGAAAATTAATTTTAGCTAACTTCAGTTGTTAATCTGTCCGATTATTTTTTTAATAAGACTATATAGAAATCGAAAGATAAATCTTAAGTTTTGTCACAAACGTTAAATTATAAATCTTAAGTTAAATTTCTGAACGCAATCATAATATTTGACATTACGAGTTACGATATCTATGAGTGCATCCTTCTATCTTTGTGGCTACGTGGCAAGAACTTTCTTTACTTTGGTGATCCTTTGTGATAGTGACATTCCAAGTAATGTGCTCTTTTTTGTGATAGTGACACTTTACTGCTAAATAAGCGGGAAATTTTCTCAATTACAATTTACGATGCCGAGGAGAAGACGGCCTAACGTAGGTCGTCGTAGTCAATCAAATGTGCGAAGAGCTACCTCACGTGCTAACCGCACTGATGACCAGAGACAGAGAGATCAAGAAAATAGTCGTATTGCTATGTCAGAATTGCGTTCTTTAGTGAGTGACAATGTAGGAGATAGGCTTAGAATGCAACGAGTTCGTGCACATCAAACACAACAACAGCAAGCTAGACATAATGAAATTGAGCGAATCCGCAGACGCAGTGCTCCTGTGATGATGAAGATGGTTTTTCACACGGACAATTATATGTTGCGTGTTCCCGTGTCGGAAAACATATTTATGCGGAGAATGGAGAAACAAAGAATATTGTATACCCAAGTATTACAGAATTAAATTAATTTGAAAATTATTTATTTTTTTTTTATTTATTTCTTATGCGTGCAACCACAATATGCCACAGTGAAACGTGGCAGGGTGCAGCTAGTATTTTATAAAAATGTTTTTCCAGGCGCATTGCACTATCGGCGAATCCTCTGGAGGTTCATGAGGAGCCCATGGACCAAGCATGATAGAATATAGAATATAGAATAAGTAGTATAGTTTAACATTAGTATTATTTTGTATTATTTAGTATTAGTAGTATTAGTATTAGTAGTAGTAGTATTTACTTTTAGTATAGTGGATTAGGCCTCTCGGGGATACCACTAAAAAAAAACGCGCCTCATACTCTACCTCAAAGGTGGTGGGGAAAAGAGTATATTGCATATTGTTTTATTGCATATTCTTTAAGTATATACTGAATACTTGCACAAAAATTCATATCGATCGGAGCATTAGAACGAAAGTTGTAGCTATTTATAGCGCACTACCTGCATATAAAACTTGAACAAACTTAAAACTTTAAACGCGATTATCTCAGAATCTTTTTTTTTGGGAAATTACCTTTGCGGTGGACACGATTACTAAAAAACTACTAATCCGATCAACACCAAATTTTGACCACTTATTTATTATGATATTAGCTAGTTATTATGATATTAGCTGAACGAAGGGTTTTCAATTTTTTTTGAAAACTCCTTTTTTAAAGCATAAAAATCATATACCTCGAAAAAGTACATTTTTTGTTAAAACCGTCGCCATTTTTTTTAAATTAAAATTTTTACAAATCCTTCGTTTACGGACTAGACAATACAATACACTAACAAAATTTTTTGGATTTTGGATTTCCGATGAACCGTTTTCGGGATATCATGTCCACCGCAAGACACCATCGAAAAAAGACGATCCGGGAATTCGGCTATAACATTTTTGTTATGTAATATTTTTTTATGAAAAAATTTAATTAGGTACCCAGAAACATGTACCAAACAACGTCGGTAAAACATTTTTCATAAATATTTTCTATGGTGTCAAAAAAAAAATCGATAAAATTCCATTTATTTGTGCGGTACAACTGTATATAACCCCTTAAAGAAAAATTAAATTCCATCAAATTTTTTGTGAAAACAGCTCGTTGCCATGGTGAGCGTGAAGAGAGGTCATAATTTTTATATTCGGCTTCGAGCGCAGGCGCGACGGATTTCGTTTCAATTTTGTTGCTGCAAACGATAAAAGCTCTTCTAGGGGAAAAAAAATTGTTTTTTTTTTGTAGTGGAAAAAGTCGTGTGCGTTCTGAAGCTTATATTTTTCACATTTAACATCAGGGTAAGCATAAAATCAAAAATTCTCAGGAAGTGACGGAGTTTGTATAGAAAAAGCCTACGGTTTTAGATATTTTTTGTTAAGCTTATTTACTTTAGATACATATTAACGCATCAAACCAATTCCTATTGAACAAAAAGTCTGCTATGCTTATATTTTAGTGCTTTTCTAATGAAAAACGACAAGTCCCGAACGGCGCGAAAGTTTTGCCTCTAAAGTGGCCACGCTGCAGTCACCAACACAAACATAATGGCGCCATTTTTTCTCTGAAAAATTTTAAGAGTTTTTGTACTCTCATTTGTCGCCTCGCCACGAACGCGCAAACGATTTCCACTTAGTAATTTTTTTCAGCCGCTTTCAGCTATTTAGCGCTTTAACCTTTTCCAATTGAAAATTTAATTAAATGTTGGTTCGAACAACAAAATACTACTTTTGTGATTGCTAAAACAGTTAAATAAATTTAATGAAAATTCATTTGGTGGGTGATGCAAGAGGATCAGTGTGATACCTCATTTCTTACAAAATGTAGCGCCCGTACAACTAGGAACAACTACAACTAGGCTTAGGTGTTTTCCCATCTCTAATGTGCTCCCACCATTTTTATCGATAGTGAACACCCTGTAGGGTTCATAAAAGCCCTGTCGTCACTCCAGTGGAGTGCGTGGAAGGCTACGGTTGTACGGGCGCTAAATTTTGTTTTCCTAGTTGTACAATCCAATTTATAGTTGATATTTAGGGTATTCCGATGTTGGGTGTGGTCACTCCAATGGAGTACGGGCGCTACATTTTGTGGCGCTTTTTGGACAACCCAATTTATAGTTGATATTTTGCGTATTCTGATTTTGGTGTTCCCGTTGTGTTTTCACTACCACCCGTGATGCCCACGGGTATTATCCTATATATTTACAATTAATTACTAAAAATAAATTAAATATAAATTAAATTATATTATTAAAACTATTACTATTCTAAATTAAATCTAATTAAAATTGGGATGGGAATAGGAACTATTAGGAGTAGGAGGATTGGGAGGAGGATTGGGGAGAGGATTGGGGGGAGGATTGGGGGGGGATTGGTGGGGGGACGATTGATTTGCCCATCCCACCGGGCCCACAACTCCCTCATCTTGGGCCCGGGCACGTAAGGCCTACCCACCGTGCCGCAACATTTCTTATGTTTGAAATGCATAGAAAAGTTTCCGTTGACCTTTGTTAAGGGGCACCATTGGCAATGGAAGCCCTTCGCCTCATCGAGGCACCCTTCGAAATGCCGCTTAAGCTGCCTGACACTTTTAAATTCCCTGAAGCAGTAGGGACATTGCTTATGTTTATTTGTCCAAACGCCCCCTTGCCCGTCGAAGTGCCACGTCGGCATGTCGGCACCGCTGAGATTGAAATGAAGCTCCCGAGCGGGCACTAGTAACATCAACGGGCGCGGGGGCGTCATTACTGTCGGAAGCGTAAAAATAATAAGGAAGCGTAAAAAAAAATAAGCGTAAAAATAAATTAAATATAAATTAAATTCTATTACTAAAACTATTACTATTCTAAATTAAATCTAATTAAAATTGGGATGGGAATAGGAACTATTAGGAGTAGGAGGATTGGGGAGAGGATTGGGGGGACGATTAATTAGCCCATCCCACCGGGCCCACAACTCCCTCATCTTGGGCCCGGGGACATAAGGCATACCCACCCTGCCGCAACATTTCTTATATTTCATATGCATCGCGAAATTTGCGTTGGGCTTGGTTAAGGGGCACCACTGGCAATGGTACCCCTTCCCCTCTTCGAGGCACCCTTCAAAATGCCGCTTAAGCTGCCTGACACTTTTAAATTCCCTGAAGCAGTAGGGACATTGCTTATGTTTATTTGTCCAAACGCCCCCTTGCCCGTCGAAGTGCCACGTCGGCATGTCGGCACCGCTGAGATTGAAATGAAGCTCTTGGCGGGCACTAGTAACATCAACGGGCGCGGGGGCGTCATTACTGTCGGAAGCGTAAAAATAATAAGGAAGCGTAAAAAAAAATAAGCGTAAAAATAAATTAAATATAAATTAAATTCTATTACTAAAACTATTACTATTCTAAATTAAATCTAATTAAAATTGGGATGGGAATAGGAACTATTAGGAGTAGGAGGATTGGGAGGAGGATTGGGGAGAGGATTGGGGAGAGGATTGGGGGGATTAGTGGGGGGACGATTAATTAGCCCATCCCACCGGGCCCACAACTCCCTCATCTTGGGCCCGGGGACATAAGGCCTACCCACCCTGCCGCAACAATTCTTATATTTCATATGCATCGCGAAATTTGCGTTGGGCTTGGTTAAGGGGCACCACTGGCAATGGTACCCCTTCCCCTCTTCGAGGCACCCTTCAAAATGCTGCTTAAGGGCTTTGACGGTCTTAAACTCCCTGAAGCAGTAGGGACATTCCTTCTCTTTGCTCGTCCAAACGCCCCCTTGCCCGTCGAAGTGCCACGTCGGCATGTCGGCACCGCTGAGATTGAAATGAAGCTCTTGAGCGGGCACTAGTAACATCAACGGGCGCGGGGGCGTCATTACTGTCGGAAGCGTAAAAATAATAAGGAAGCGTAAAAAAAAATAAGCGTAAAAATAAATTAAATATAAATTAAATTCTATTACTAAAACTATTACTATTCTAAATTAAATCTAATTAAAATTGGGATGGGAATAGGAACTATTAGGAGTAGGAGGATTGGGAGGAGGATTGGGGAGAGGATTGGGGGGATTAGTGGGGGGACGATTAATTAGCCCATCCCACCGGGCCCACAACTCCCTCATCTTGGGCCCGGGGACATAAGGCCTACCCACCCTGCCGCAACAATTCTTATATTTCATATGCATCGCGAAATTTGCGTTGGGCTTGGTTAAGGGGCACCACTGGCAATGGTACCCCTTCCCCTCTTCGAGGCACCCTTCAAAATGCTGCTTAAGAGCTTTGACGGTCTTAAACTCCCTGAAGCAGTAGGGACATTGCTTCTCTTTGCTCGTCCAAACGCCCCCTTGCCCGTCGAAGTGCCACGTCGGCATGTCGGCACCGCTGAGATTGAAATGAAGCTCCCGAGCGGGCACTAGTAACATCAACGGGCGCGGGGGCGTCATTACTGTCGGAAGCGGAAGCGTAATCGGGAGCGGTGGCGTAATCGGGAGCGGGGGCGTAATCGGGAGCGGGGGCGTCATCGCTGTCGGGGGCGTGGGCGTCTTCACATATGGTGACGGCGGGGGCGTCTTTATAAGTGGCTACGGCGGGAGCGGGGGCGTAATCGGGAGCGGAGGCGTCTTCACTGTCGGGAGCGTCATCGGGAGCGGTGGCGTCATCGGGAGCGGAGGCGTAATCGGGAGCGGGGGCGTAATCGGGAGCGGGGGCGTCATCACTGTCGGGGGCGTGGGCGTCTTCACATATGGTGACGGCGGGGGCGTCTTTATAAGTGGCGACGGCGGGAGCGGGGGCGTAATCGGGAGCGGAGGCGTCATCGGGAGCGGGGTCGTCATCGGGAGCGGAGGCGTCATCGGGAGCGGGGGCGTCATCACTGTCGGGGGCGTGGGCGTCTTCACATATGGTGACGGGCATGTATCGATTTCCCGCGTGATGCTCACATAGGGGCCCAGGGAGATGGGGTTTTTTTTCGTCCATGTCAAATGAGGATATGCTCTTCACAATTCTTCTTTGATCGAAATATTTTAAAACACCAATGGCATCGATCGCGTCATGGATCGAACAAAAATATTAGTACCAAACAAAAAAACAAAAAATTTTTAAATAAAAAATAACTAGAAATAGTTTTTGAGTTCAAAATTTTGGTTTGACGAGCGCCAGTGTTGAGCAATTTCGCGCGGAAAATCCATTTTTTTAACTATTTTCAACACACAAGGTGCAGAAAGTCGCGTGCGTTTTTTTTTTTTTTTTGGTTCGAATTGAACCGCGGGAAAATACGAGCGGACTTTCTGCACGTCAAAATTTTATCGTCAAAAATTGTATCGAAAAACGTCAAAAATTTATCAACACTGAGAAATAAGAACAAGAAGAACCATGTGCTTTCACCACATTCTAATATCCCTTTATTCTTTTTTTTCAGTTCTATGGCTCTGGTTCCCAACTTCATCTGAAAAAGGACCACTAAAGAAAATACCCGATCCCCGAGTGTGTAGGGGGGCGTGGTTCCGCAAAAAGATTCCAGAAAGGTTTAGAAGGAAATAAGAAGTCGGGGGCGTCTTTTTCGGTGCTATAACGCGGTCAGCTTTATTCGGCTGCTTACATGAGATTAATTGCTTAAAAACTAGTGCAAAAAGTAATAGAAAAACTACGATCGACGACGGCCGGCGAAGGAGCGAGAGCGCAAAGAGGGGCGAGCGCGGATGCGCTCTTCAGCGCGGGTGCGCTCTTCAGTGCTGGTGCGCTCTTCAGCGCGGGTGCGCTCTTCAGCGCGGGTGCGCTCTTAAAGTTGCGGCACACCGGCCCCTCACGTAAACACCGAGTACCAAAAACACAGAAATCTCTCAAAATGCTCTTTTCTTTTGTTATTCCAAAGATCCAATAAAATTTGCTAATTTTGGATCAAACTAAATGCAGCTCAATCCGCAAGTTGATGGTACTTATCAACTTCCATCCAAAAAAAACAAAATAAAATTTAATAACTTAATAACTTTATTTTTACTTTTTCATATTGGCACCAAATTGTTCTTGGGAAAAATTTGAAAGTGTTGGGGATGATGGGGTGGAAAATGATGATCCATTTTGCAGCGCGTCCCACTCCTCCCCCAATTGTTTCATTTTGGAGCCCGGGGCATACTAAAGCAGCTTCCTCCAAACTTCCCTATTAACCCCTATTGGGACACACTTCTCTCCAATTTTTCCCCATGCACTTTTTTTGTATGGAGTGCCTTTCTAAGTTGGGTTTTTTTTTAGAGCATCATTGGCAGTTTTGGAGTTTCGGCTCCTGGAAACAAAGTTTACGCTGGTAAATTTGTCTTTTGTCTTCTACGTCCTTTGTCCTTGGCTTCTTTATGCCACGTGGGTATGCCGAAACCTTATACCCTATACAGCGGCACCTTATTATTAATTACTTATTATCTACTAATTCTATTACTACTGTTACTAATTTATGAAAAATGGAATGATTGACATGAACCACTAATAAATTTGACGTAAAAAATTACAGTTTAAATAAGTAATTAATTATACATGTACACATTTACATATTTGAATATGTTATGTATATTGCATTGCCCAGGGAAACAAATGACTATAGTTAAACAAAACTATCGTACAAACAGACTTGCAAAATTTCACATGAAAAGATTCAGTTTTTATTTTGTTAGGGATAAGGATGTCTGTGTTTTAAGTATACGAAATTAAAAAGCAAACTTTGCATAGCAAATTAGTTATAAATCTTGAACCATTTTTTGTTCTCCCCATAGACTCCACTCTTGTTGGAAGGAGGTTTATAAGGAAACAAGATCTAATTAAGAAGAGAAAGCAGTGCGCCATAAGGATTAAGGTTCGAGCTTCGAAACTTATTTATAAGGCCATTATACGGCCAATATGAACGTATGGAATTCAGCTCTGGGGCACTTTCAGTTCGAAAACAGAGCCCTCCTCATTGCCACTGGGGCCCATGTCTTTCACGACAACGCTACCACCCACGAGGTCCTTAGTTTCCATGGGTGAGAGACGAGATTCTTAGAAGCAGCAGCAGAAATATATATGCAGAGGCTGCAAATTATTCCTTAGATATATATATGCTAAATATATAGATATAATAATATATTTAACAGAATCCAAAAAAGAATTTAAAAATTTTGTAAATTCTTGGCATAGAAGGATCTAATTTTGAAGACAGTAAGTGCAATAAAAACCTATGTATATTGTAAATAAAATAAAATGTACAGCGCCCTTACAACCGTATTCCACTTTTATCTCAATGCCATTGGTGTTTTAAAATATTTCGATCAAAGATGAATTGTGAGCATGGTTGCCAGATTTGACTCTTTTGATATTCATATTTTTCGTTTAGCCCAAAAAGAACAGCGGAATTCCAAGAATTTAAAGCACTTAATAAGTTTAAGCCTTATAAAATTTTAGGAGTAGCCATGACACGTTGGTTATCTTTTGGGAAGGTTATTTCGCGAATTCTGGAGCAATGGGATGTTATTAAACTCTTTTTATTGTCCCAGGTTTTAGAAAATCATTGACTTGGCGACATTAAAAGTGAGAGAGACGGTCATACTGTTAAAATTTTAAAATTCTGCTTTACGCTTTACATACGCAGGCTTTTTATTTTGACGACTTCATTGACGACTTCATTCTAATTCAGTCGCTTCAGCTAAACGGGGCTCCTCATAAAATACAAAACTTACTAAGTGTTTTTTTGAAAAAAAAAAAAGTTAAAAGTATTAAGTATATGGGTATATAATGTATTAAGTGAGTGTGTTTTATAAAGAAGTTTGCTTGTTATTTTAAAACTTAAACCACTGGGTAAGCAAAATGTGAACACAACGAATTTTTTTTGGTGAAAACAGCTCGTCGCCGTGGTGAGCGGGAAAGAGAGGTCAAAATTTTCACATTCGGCTTCGTGCGCAGGCGCGACGGATTTCGCAGTCTCAGAATGACTTATATAATCAAATAAGCCGTATAATCACGAAAAGTCCGCCCAAACAACCTTCACCTTGAGGGGAGGCAACTGTCCACAAATCAGTATTGGAGGCACTGTCATACCACCAAACCCAACCCCAAAATACCTGGGAATGACGTTGGACAGGCGTCTCACATAGAAAACCCACCTACCGCGCAAACGCAAGCCAGTGAAAGAGAAGCTGCGGCAGCTATACTGGCTGATTGGACGAAGATCACACCTGAAGCTGAAGGTAAAGCCACTGATTTACAAGGCCATTGTGAAGCCAGTTTGGACTTATGGCATCCAACTGTGGGGCACAGCGAGGCCGAAAGTAAGGTTGGATCTACGACATCGAGAGGAACCTGAATGAGCTCATATATCAAAATTAATTTTATTAGGACCATTATAACTTGTATTTCTCAAATTCCTTTTGCCAAGGTTCTCACATAGCATTTAATTATTGTCCCTTATTGCGAACAGATCTTAAATAAAACTCTTGAACAAGAAAAAAAAAAAGTAAGCCTTAGATATTAAGCTTTTTTACGTTTTTTTTTTTTTTTACTTTGTTATGATAAAATTTTAATGTTACATTTTTTTAGATAAAAAAAATATCCAAATAAATAATAAAATAAAATTTGGCTTTTTTTTAATAAAATTGGCTCAATCTTTTTTGGGCTCATTATAAATTTTTGAAGTGGCAACCGCGATTGTGAAGAACTTATTGAACCAAACATCAGAATACCTAAAATATCAATAATAAATTGGATTGCGCCAAAATATGTAGCGCCCGTACAACCGTAGCCTTCCACGCACTCCACTGGAGTGACGACAGGGCTTTTATGAACAGCTACAGGGTGTTCACTATCGATAAAAATGGTGGGAGCACATTAGAGATGGGAAAACACCTAAGCCTAGTTGTAGTTG